CAAAATGCCAACTCCAAGCATCCCAGATTGTCACAATTTGTGTTTTTTAGTCAGGGGCTGTGGATGGAAATTAAAAAACAAAGGACTGTCAACACATTAACATTTTAACCAACACCATGGAAAAATGGCCCTCAAAATCTTTAATATGTATGTAAGGCCTTGTGACCTGGATTAGAAGTGGTGGCAGTGTACTCTGATGATGAGAAAAACGTTGATTTAGCTGATAGACGTACTGTAACATGCTTGATAAACTTTATAAAACGGCTATAAGGAAAAATCTTTTCTGTGGATGAGTTTCTGTTTCTGTGGCTGCTTTTCAACATGAGCAGCGTTTACTCTCAGGTATTTTTCCTGACTTGCAGCTCCATCTCTCTGTGTCCCTGTGTTGTACATCATAGAGTGTTCAAATGTTAAATAAATATGATAAATCAGTCCTTTTCTTTCCAGTTGGGTTTTCAATTTGGTGCTGTTTGCACAAGGTGTTCACGACGGAACAGGAGCGGACGGGGTCTCTGCTCTCAGCAAAACACTTGTGGTTGGGATTAAACTCCATGCCCAGGAGCCTTCAACACACACACACACACACACACACACACACACACACACACACACACACACACACACACACACACACACACACACTCTCATGCACGCTCAACATACTTTCACAGCTGCTCTGTGTTTCCACATGTGAAGTCATGGTCTGCTGAAGTAGGGAAAAAAAGCAGTAGGACTTATTAAAACCGAGGACACCACCCTGAAAAGAACAATCGAGGGAGGGTGAGAAGAAAAGTGTCAGAAAGTGACGCCATGAGACGACAGATCAGGACAAAGAGAGACACAACCCCGCCTCTAAAGTCAGAGTCTGACTTGTATCTGCTTCACCATGCTAATAAGTCAAACAGTTTCTATGTTCCTGCTGAGCTCTGCTAAAAAGACGGCAATGTGCGAGTCATTAGTTTATTTCTGTCACATGTAAACACAAGCCTTTTATATCCAAACCACATCTCTTTCATGTGCTTTAACGCAGAACCTCTGTGGGTGGATACAGGAACAGAGTCTGCTCCGTGTTTGGAGACCTTGTGAGGAACACAGCAGAAACCAATTACAGTTTGATACCTCACATATAGTCTTGTTTATGTTTGTGCAAAATATTTCTTCTCTGCATGACTTTGGACACATTTTATTCCCAAGGAATTGATCTCGCTTCTAACCTCTAGATACCTTTCAGCTGCATTAAACCTGCAGACTGTGAGGTGTTGATGTGACCTGGGATTTAAGAAAGGCATGATTAGTACGATTTGTGGTCCCGCCCCTGCTCCTGTAGTCCCTTCATGTTTCCATCATTCATACTCGTCGCTGTGAGCCATAAGTCATGTGTGTTTGTAACATGTAAAGGTGACCTGATTAAACAGAAAGAGAGTTCAGAGGGCAAGGTCAGAGGTCAGAGGTCATGGGTGCGCTGTGTCAACAAAACTTCACGAGGGTCGGGATGCCACCGAGGAGCGAGACACAACAGCTTCTCGTGTTTCCATCGGGTTGGTCGGCAGGGGAAGCTGACGTGAAACACACCGACAGAAAGCTAAAAGACAAATGTACATGTGAGGTCAAAATAGTTTGGGATTCACCTCCAGGATGTGACAACAACAACGCCCACTGATGTACGATTAGGTGTGTCGCAGTGTGGCGTTCATCCCCACACTATGAACAGTTTTATTTGAAACTGAGTTTATGAGTTTTATTTGAGTTTTATTTAAGGACCATGAGGACCTTGGAGCTCTACATCATTAGAGTTCAGTCGTCAGTGAAGTTTCAGACGTGTAACACTCACTGTGAAGGCTTTGAACGCAACATGTGAAGCACAGATGGGTTAAACTGTACGGCATGTCAGAGTTTGTAAACTGATTTTAAACAGGAGGGTGGTGCAGGAAAACCAAAAATGTTCTTTCAAAAACGTTTCCTGAGCTCTTCCACCAGGTCCAGACTTCATACTGAAACCAACCTTATGTGCTATATATACAAGTATAGAAATCTATATTTTGAGTGAAGTACATGTTCATAGAGTATGAAAGGAAAACGACACATATGTGTGCCAATGGATGTCATAAAAACTGCAGTTTTAAGAGGCTACGTCATATTAAACTTCAAACAGAGACATCCCAGAGAGGTAATACTGAGGTTTTTATTCTCAAAGACTGTCCTGGATTTGTCTTGCGACCATTTTAAGTGTTTGAGTGCGTGGTTTTTTTCAAGATTTATTTTTGGGCATTTTGTGCCTTTAATGGAGAGATAGGAGAGTAGATAGAGTTGGAAATCAGGGAGAGAGAGAGAGGGGAATGACATGCGGGGAAGGAGCGACAGGCTGGACTCGAACCCGGGCTACCCGCTTGGAGGACCACAGCCTCCATACATGGAGCGCACGCACTGCACCACTGCACCACCAGCGCCCCAAACAACTAGTCATTTTCAGTGTCTTTCGCCATGTTTCGGTTCATGTCTGATCTTCATGGTAAGGCACGTGTTTTCTGGCGTTTCCACTGTCCAAAATTTGGAAAAGTCTCAAAATGACCGGTCTATACCGTCCTACTTTTTGCTACCCTGCAGTTGGGGAGCCAAGCATACTGATCCGACCCTAAAAGGTTGGGCTAGAAACACTGCAGTCCAAATATCCTGTTCACTTTCAAGGCTACTGTACAGTATTATTTATTTGAGAAAGTGTCAGCACGAAGCACTGTTGCCATGGACGACCGCGGAGGTGCAGACCTTCCTCTGCATTATCGGGGAAGAGGAGGTGCAGAGGGAACTGGAAGGCGCAGTGAGGAATGAGAAGGTTTTTAAACATGTTGCTCAAAGGACGGCCGCAGAGGGGTTCACGAGTCTTGAGCCTTTCTGTGCTTATCTCTGCCATTTCTATTGTGCTTGAGGGACAGTGTCCATCAAAGTAAACCTGCCAGCAGAGGCGCTGCTTGTCAACAGGCACTATAGGGGCTACGTCCACTTGTTAAATGCATCCCTCATTGTTATGATACACATTCAAAAGTCAGCTGAATATATCATATGACATTCAGACAATGGAAGGCTGCTGATGAGACACAGATCTGATGTTCAACAGGTGCCACAACTTCCATGAAGATGAAATAAGAACCCATGTCGTAAACTTCAATAAAATGAATGAACACTTGTGATCAGTTAGATGTTGGATGTCGCTGGGAGTGGGTCTGCATCAGTCGCACATGTGAACCCCACATGCTGCACATGTTTTATCCTCTGTTTGGCGTAAGCATCTGCTCTCCTCCTGCGTGATGTAGCCTTTAGGCCTCTGCTTCTCTGACTTTAGTGGTTTGTCTGAATGTTTCAGAGGTCTGTAATAAAGATCAATCCGGATGGAAGTGAAATGTTTCAGCTGGCAGACTCTGGGAGTGATTTGTACTCAGGCTGATTCAGAGTGAAGTGAACAGTCTGTGAAGTGGGCAGGGAGAGAGAACTACAGAGTAATTACAGAGTCAAATGTATAGAGACTTCTGCAGACTTTAGATGAGGATGCATGTCGAAATAAGTGCTCTTTGTGAAGGTGGAAACACAACACAGCACCAAGGACAAAGGCTGGACACTTGACACAAACATATAAGCAGGTTAAGCCGTCTTCATGCTGACTTTAGGCCTGATACGCTGAGATCACATGAGCCATCGTCTTTTTCCTGCAGCTGTTTTTATCTGCTGACATCAGGAGCAACACAGGATGCTCCAGACCCGTTATACTGCTCTCCTCATCCAAAGAAAGATCTGCAACTGTAGCCTATCTGTCTGAGGAATCTGCATGTGACCCTGATATATTTATATAACAACCTTTAACTGAGTGTCTGTTGCTCTTGTAACCGTGCAAACAAACAGCTGACATCCTTTTGGTTCTGTTTGAGGCTTTTGGGACAGAACTGGTTGTATTTGAGACGAGGCACTCTTACTAAAGGTTGAAGGGGCTTGTTCACAGTGGAGAGAATTCTTGGAGACTTTTAACAGATTTATTTTTAGCCTCACTTTACCAAAAAGCTGGTAAAATCTACAAAGTGTTTCCAGATGCTTTCAGTGTTGCATCTCACTGCTGCAATGACTCACCACTGACTGACACTTGCAGATTTGTTTTGGGGGGAAGGGGGGGCTTGTCTCCAGGAGTACAGCCTCTGAGCAGTGCGTGTCCACTAACATTTAGGCTACCACTGCCTTCTTATTGCAGATTTTTTTGGGAGAGAACAAGCAAGACGTTGTTCTGAAATCCCTCATTATAATGCTTTAAAAGTTTCTCTATCCCATACTTTCCTTATGTTACTCATTTAGTTTATCATCTATAGACAGCTGTTTCCGTACGTGGGGGTCGACGTGGGAACCCTGCCCGAGACATCCTTACAAGTTTGTGAGAATCCACAAAACATCAAGAAAAATTTTAAACAAGTGATGAAACTCATCCAGATATAAGATAGAGTTATTGCATTACTTTACCTATTTTTAAGAAAGGTAGAAAATCTATCCTGTTGTATACAAACTAGAAGCTACTCATGCTGTCTTTGCACACACTGTACAGTGTTTTTTTGTATCCACAGTGAGAGTGAATGTGGCTCCAAAGTAGTGGTTAACTTTTCTTTACTTAGGATTTAATTACTGGGAATCTTTCTCAGAGCAGTCAAAGTACAGAGCCATCATAAAAGAGCAAAGACAGTCATTGTAAATATATCATTTTGGTCAAAAACATGTTAAAACAACTTCCAATTTGGCTTTTTGTCACTTAAACATCACATAGATAGACCGTATTTTAGTCAGAAATGCAAGCCAGCGCTGTGTTTCCTCTAATCATCTATGATTCTGCGCACCAAAACATGGAGCAGCCTTTTGGGGGTAGATTGGGGGGGGGGAGTTCTCCACTTGAGGGAATCATGCTGGACAGGGACGAGAGTTAGAGGGCGTTTCTCTGCTCGATTTAAAGGAGGAACTTGGCTATGAGTCTGATATGGTCAATTCTCTTCCTGCCCATCCGGCCAGCAGGGGGGCAAAATGATTCACTTTTCCTTAAATATTTTTGAAATGAACTTTAAGAGTCAGCTGCCGAAGATTTGGTGATTCAGTGAAACTTATCTCAGCGCTGTAGGGGCAGACACTTTGGTACACACGCTTTCTTTTTTTCTCTCAGGGAAAAGGGTGTTGCAGAGTGAACAGTCCGGGGCAGGTCGTGCCATTGCGTCGCCAAGAGTCTGGAGGTTTGTGTGGACATTTCTGGAATAGCCTTCAAAGCTGGGGTTTTTTGGCCAAGGAGAACCTGGGAGGAAGCACAGCCGCGTTTTTCTTCTGTGTGCACAATCAGCGAAGAGTTCCAGCGAGGATCACACAGAGCACATTTCTAGCATTTTCTGCGTTCTTCCTCCTTCCTGCGTCCAGGAGATCGTCACAATATTTACTGGAAATAAACAATGCCCGAGGATTAATTGGATGAATTAAGTAATTAGTGTCTTGACGTGCGTGAGAGTGTATTTTGGAGATGTGAAGTGGTCTAAACTTTTCGCCGACAGACTTTATTCATTCCTCCGGTGTTTTTGAGGAAATGTTTCAGAGTTTTTGGATGTTTGTCTAAGAGATGAGATACTCTGCTGATCTCCTGGGATCATTGGTTGCTTGAAAACGGAAGTGTTGCTGAGATGAAGTTTTGGATATAACTGTTTACGCACAACAAACTCTGCTCTTATTCGCCTGCTTTGTCAAATAAAGAGCAGACAGTGAAGTGGATTTCCTCCACAGAAGGCAGGCATGCTGAGAAACACTTAAGGTGGATGTTTGTGTGCCCACGCTGCACATCTTCATCTGGAAGTAATTGATAAACGGCCTCAAATGCACTAAAGACGCGCGTGGATCGCAGCTCCGCCACTGGATCTGTATTTTAGTTTTTATTTTCTGACATCTCGACATAATGCGTGGGGCTTTTGTGCTCAGTTTAGCTCTGATCTATCTGCTGACATGGACTGGAGAGGCGGACAAACCGAATCACCTCCATCGGTCGCAGCTGCAAAGACGCACGAGACAGGGGCGAGCCCAGCTGGGCACAGCAGACAACGGGGGCCTTGTTGGGCGTTTGCGTCCAGGGTTTAGTTCAGCTATCTCTGTGCACGCTGCCAGGGGGCAGGAGGACGTGCAAGCTGATGAAGGTACTCCAGCTTCCGTCAGGTCAGGGACTGTGCAGGGCAGGAGAGCAGGAGGTCTCGTGCCACGGAGAGGGCTGGCCGGACAGCTCGGTGTGCCAAGTCAGCCGGACATGCAGAAGGATGAGGGCGCACCAGGAGCGCGAGCCAGGGTGACCCGGATGCCCAGCGGCGCAGGGTCACCTAACCTGCTGGCCAGTTTTGCTGGAAAGAACCGCGTCCTGGTGATCTCAGCCCCTCATGAGTCAGACGGATACTACAGACTCATGATGTCTCTCCTCAAACCAGATATTTACTGTGAGCTGGCAGAAAGGCATGTTCACCAGATCGTCATTTTCCATCAAGAGGGCGAGATGGGGGGCAAGGTGAGGAGGATCACCACGGAGGGGAAGGTGATGGAGGAGCCGCTGGACACTGCTCTCATCCCCAGACTCATGAGCTTCCTCAAACTGGAGAAAGGTGAGGAAGGGGTCCAGGTCCCGAAGGAGTTGTGGCAAATCTTTTCTTAATAGTCTCCAGTAAATCTTATATCTGAATAAAGAGAATATTTCCAATTAATTTAAAGAAAAAGAGCTTGAAATTATGCAGCACCAGTGGTGGGAAACTACTGTGCAAGCTAGCTATAACTTCCGATGCTTAATAACAGCAAAGCTTTAAAGAGAAAATCACAGATTGGCCATCTTAAACGCTTAGAAAAAGCAGTTGGAAGTCATTTGTTTGAACATATAAAATCTAAATCTGATACACATCAGCAAGCGACTTATAATTGTAGTCAAGCAGCTATTCAATAAGTAGTTCCCCTTTCCCATGCCACTCACCTCATCTTCAGAATCTGAGTCAAATCTGACACAATACCTTACACTTGTTCGCCCTGCAGGTAAGTTTGGGATGGTGCTGCTGAAGAAGACCCTGCAGGTGGAGGAGAGGTACCCGTACCCTGTGAGGATGGAGGCCATGTACGAGGTGATCGACCAGTCGCCTATGAGGAGGCTGGAGAAGCTCCGGCAGAAAGGCTTCGTGCAGAAGTGCAGAGGAGCGGGTGTGGAAGGCCAGGTGGAGGAGGGCACGCTCGCAGGTGAGGAGGAGCAATTATGTTCTCTCTTTTTTATCATCATTACAGGAAGAGGAAACCAGGAGTCACACTTTTTTGTGTGTTCTTAGTTGTCATTATCTAAAAAAGAGTGCCCAAAATCAAAGGCTGTAAATTTTGGCTTCATTTCAACAGATTTTGAGTTAAGGAGAGATTTCTAGGAAGAAACATCTTCACCTTTGCAGAGTTTAGATAATGATGAAACATTTGTCACTGAAAGTCTTTGGCGTTTAAAAGGTCACATACTAATTTGTGTTCCTAGTCTGAACTGGCAGATACATAATTTAGGGATTGCTCTGTTCGATTTTCAACTGGCTGCTGTAAAGTAAGCAGTAATAGATGCAACATTGTCCTTGGGTGCAGACGCGCACAATCAAACTATGTCACTTAGCGCCTGAGGGAGCAGTTCACCAGCAACTCCTGCATTCAGCTAGATAACATCACTCCTTTAGTTTGTCCATGTAGTGTGGTAGTTTTGAAGACAACAATGTAATGGTCATCTTCCTCTTAAATGAAGAGGTCTATTTCTGTAGGTATGCTTTCTGCAATGTTGTCAGACACTAAGAAGAAGAATCTGAGTCTGTCAGGGACAAACACCAGAACCTTTAGTGGACACACTTGGATCCATCAAGGATTATGTTGCAGCCATAAGAGACTGTTTCACTGCTGCAGGCTGAAGAAAAATGCTGGAGCAATTACAAAGTTTTTGTACCTTTTACTCAATTATTCCCCGAAATATGTCAAAAGAATTTAGAAGTAAAATGAATCCAAAGCTAATGGAGAAAATATCCACTCTGCTGTTTGTCTTCCTGTGTGTTCACAGCAGTAGATACACCAGTAGAAAGAAAACCAACAAAGAAAATCATGAGAAAGCCAACAACCACCACAGCCGCCACAACCACCACTCCGGCAACTACCACACGACCAACCACGACCCCTACCACCACCACCACCACCCCTCCAACGACCACGACCCGGCCCACCACCACAACCAGAGCAACTACAACCACGACCACCACCAGAAGAACCACCACAAAAAGACCGGCCACCACTACCACCACCACCACACTGAAACCAACCAGAGCCCAGACCACAGCCATGTGGCTCCCCGCACCAAGAACCACTGCTGATCCTCACTACTACGACCGCAGAGAGAGGGAGCGGTACCCGGCTAAAACCACCCCGGCCGGAGACAACCGCACTGACAAGGACAGCAGAGACCCACATGGGAGAAAGATGGTTCCTGCCACACATAAACCCTCAAAGATCAGACCCACCAGGAGGAAGAACGGTGGAGAGAAGGTGAGGCCAGGAAATGTAGTTTAAGTGTTGTAAAAAGTTTTATTGGTTTTTGATTTTTCCAGAAGACTTTCCAGAGGTGATTTCTCTTTGTTTCCATTTTTAATGTAGTTTTTCTTGTCTCTGCAGCATTGGAATAATTTCCCAAAAGTGTATTTCTTAACTAATTTACAAAGGACATGTATCTCTATTTGGCACCTGGTAATGGAGCTTATTTGGCTCTAGAATTGAGCATTTTAATTGAAGTGCCAACTCTGATGGATCAGAATCCTTACTGGTAATTATGACTGCCAATATGACACTGTTGCCAGAATTCTTGGTTTTACAAGAGGAGTTTATCTGCCAGAAAATGTTTATGAGACTTAGTTTGTTCAAATTCCCAAAACACAGAAAATGAACTTTCTTGTGAACTTGGGAATTAATCGCAGACTGCGTAAAGATAACTCCTCTTTTTTAATAAACAAACTATGTTCTTCTGTGCAGGTGTTGACTAACGAGTATGAGGACAAGTATGAACCCAGCAGGCCAACAGTCAGCGATCCTGGGGAGGCAGAAACCTTCACAGACATCAGTCCAACCAAGAGGGTGAAAGGCAAACACGATAAGCACGACAAGAAGAAGAAAAAGAACGACAAGGCTGCCAAGAAAGCCGAGAGGAGGGGAGGAGGAAAGGCAGGGAAGATCGGGGGAAAGAGAAATGGAAAGAAGCTGCCAAAGTACCCTGAGAAAGAGGACTACCCGAAGCCCACCAAAAAGCCGACACCCCCGCCAAAGGGATCACTGGCTTCTTTCCTGGACTACTTTGAGAACAGGAGGCGGCTGCTGGTGAGAGCATGATGAAACTCACACTCCACTACACACTCACAATCTCTCTGCATAGAGGATCTCCAGTGTCAGACTGGAGAGGGGAAATATTAGTGACAGTATCAAACTTCAGTTATCTACCAGCTCTCTGAACACATGCCAGTTTGAAGGAATAGTTGGGATTTTATGCTTATACAATTTTAAGCTAATATTTAAAAAGACAAATACAACATTATATATTTCTGTTTAGTCTGAGGCTAATGCTCGAAGGTTAGCTTAGTTTTAGAGTCAGTAGCATTTTTGTAAGAGCTTGTAAACACATCATTCAAACTGGACCCCTCCTCCTGGGCTCATCACCACCTGAAGTGCACACTCACTGCAGGACGTAGTGTGTACGTTTACTGCTTGTACCTACACTGCAAGCTAACGCATACTAGCACAAGCTGACCGCAGGGTTTTGTCACCTGCCTGTCCAACAGGAAGTAGACTAACTCCAAGTCCACGGGTAAAAGCCAACACAAAGTTCACCCTCGTTTTTTGAATAAGCCTTATCTGCTGGGCATTTTTGCCTCACTATGATTATATTTTCTCTTCTTTGCTGCTACGTCCACGTCCGTCATATTCAACGGTTTGAATAGTGTCCAATGGCTGAATTGTATCCACTTCTAAAATTACCTACGCACTGGCTTACTGAAAGGCTTTCTAATATCGCCTAGTGAAAGTAATAAACAGTCGAGTACGTTTAAAACATCAACACAGATCCAGGCTCGCGTGTAACCCGTCCCCACCCTTTATGCTAAGCTAAGCTAATTGGTGCTTGTTGTCCTTTAAATGTTCCATACACAAATGAGACTGGTGTCAATTTCCTTATCTAACAGAGACATTTTGAGACCATTTAAAATAGTGGTTCTTAACTCGTCTGGCCTCAGGACCCCAACTCGATTTTTTCCGACCAATCAGATATATTTACTGAAATATTGTGCAGTTTGGATCTCAGTCGGTACGAAAAAAGTCACTGAAGCGAGAAATGAAATTGATCGAAACAAACACACTTCACAGACTTTTTCCAAGCACACTTTTGCGACCCGCTGAAAATGGTTCTGCGACCCACTTCTGGGTCCCAACCCACAAGTTGAGAACCACTGATTTGAAACACCCATATGAAACAAAACACAAAGTAACCAATCGTAGCAGTGTCAGACCAGTAACCATTGTTTGTGCAGTAAAATTAATGTTTTTTTCAGAGGTGTCTGGTTGTTTTTGAAATGCATAACAACCGTTTCTAGTAAATAAAAGTGTTCATTTATGAAAATAGGACCCAGATTTCAAGTAACAAAATTCCCCAGTAGATTATGACAACATTTTTTGCTCTTGAAATGTCATCACAGGCATGATTTTCAACTATGTGCTTTAGGCAGCTAATCCCTTTCCCCCTTTTTATTTCCTATATTCTTAAATCTTAATCCATCTGCAGTGAGATCTATCATGAAGAGACATAAACTGTGAAGCCTCTGTCCTGCAGCTTTTTGGCAGGCTGCACAGCTGTGTGTTTGCAGACTGGGTGTCTCTGTTTTGCAGCCAGCAGAGATTCTTATCATGGCAGTGATGTGGGCAGGCTGGGAAAATATGCCCCATCCTCCGCCTGCAGGTTAATGTAAACACCACCTCTGCTGCTCACCGTATATGTATATGTGTGGGATCTTCATTTCATAGGATGACACTTTAACCTTCCTCCTTCCCCTCCCTGCAGCTGATTACATCTCCCAGCGAGGAGAACAGAATGTATGCTCAGCAGAGGGATGAGTACCTGGAGTCTGTGTGTGAAATGGCCATCAGGAAAGTCTCCATCATCACCATCTTTGGCTCCTTGACCAACTCCACCATGAAAATCGATCACTACCAGCTCGGTGAGTGACTCTTCACATGCAGTGCTAGAATGTAATTTCACCTCTCTCATAGTAAGGTGGGAACACTCATGACTGTAACTGAAATAGCTGGTGCAGTATGACTGACAGCTCTCTCTCACACTCCAGTGTAAACCCTTCTACCTTCTACCTGGTTTGCCAAATGCATCCTTCTCTGCTCTGTCAGTGGTCTGTAAGGTTTTTGAGTTATGCCCGCACTCTCTCTGAATATTTGTTTATGAGAATCAAATGTGTCCTGTGATGTTTTTGCAGATTTTAATGTTGCAGTGAAGAGATCTTCTGTCCTCTCTCAAATCTGTAACAGTCACAAATCCAAAACCCGAACTCTATCGTTACATGAATGGATATTTGGTTGAGGGCACACACAGCAGGTTTTATGCAGGACAGATTTTCTTTGTCTATTTTCTTATCTTTAACCTTAAAAACTTACATATATAAGAAGATTCACCTGCACATAGATACAGCCTGAGTTTATTCTTGGTTCTTGCACATAAAGAGAGTTTAGGAGGACTGAGTTTATTGCAACATGTGTTCATGCATAAAAATAATTTATTTTGTGTCTTGCTGCACAATGATAAATGAAAACAAAAAAGAAAGCAAGATAATGGCAGGACTGCAACAATAAAGAAACCTAAAATAAAATAGAAGATGTCAAAATACTTAAAAAATGATGTAAAGAGTCGGGTCATAAATCAAACACTGAAGATTTTGGCTTCCAGAGCTGATCCAGAGCTCTTTGGGGTAAAGATATGCAACTTCAGCCTTGTCTCCAATAACCGATCTAATCTGTCTGAGTCGGTGCATTTATGACACTGACATTTTTATTTAGTCTGAAACTTGTTATTTAAATCTGCTATAAGTTACGCAGAACCTTTGTCAGTCTCTCCTGCCACGTCTGCCGTCCTGTCCTCGTTTTACCTTAATCACATGATGTAGAACGAGATGATTTCTGTAGCTCCAAGTTGAACTTTTCAGAAAGCACGCAGACTCTGCCAAAAACCGCAGCATTGTGTACCACTCATTGTGTGAGCAGGTGATTTAGACAGAGCTGACTTCACATTCCTGTGATCTTGGGTTCTGCTGCGCTCTGATGTTAATGAGCATGTTCTCCTCTGAAGGGTTATACTTTCATTGTATTTTTATACTCTTATGAGAGGGTGTCTGTGTGATCATACAATATGTAAGATGAGTTCAGCAGGTGTTCAGATTAAAAGGGTCTGTATCATATCTGCATCAGGGGATGAGGGGGAACCTCTGACCACTGCCAGAATACCTTCCTTTAGTGTCGTCCTAAGGGGAGCTGGATACACTTACAGGGGGAATACCTGTATTTTTCAAAGTCTCACAATAGGCAAAACACAAGTGTCCCGCCTCCCCATTTCCCTGCTGGCCTGCACTCACACTGCTCCAGGACTAACCGGGCCTCAGCACAGTCGGTTGTCAAAATAAAACCCATGCATGGCTTTACATGATCATGAAGCATGCTTAAGTTAACGTTAATTATCTCACCGATATGCGCTGATATTACTAGATTTATTCTCCAGTCAAAAAGCATTTCAATTTCAGTTTCATTGTATTATACTAGCAGTTCTATGTCACCAGCAGAGAGCGCTATATGGATTACAACAAACATCATCCCCCTCCAGAGTGTCAAGCGGTGATGCACGTACATGCACAGTTACTTTCCAGTTGAGTGACCATCTTGTCTTTGTTATAAATCTTTTCTACAAGTGTTTGATAACTGCATTTGAGGGGTCAACCAATAAATGTGTATATCTATCTCTACAGATCAAAGATCGATCTAAGAAAGATATTGGTTGATTGATCGGTATTTGTATTGGCCCCAACAAATCACATGGGCCCTAATTGTTAAAGGTTTATTTTTGTGTTTTTTAAGCCTTTATTTAGAGATAGGACAGTGGATAGAGTCAGAAATGGGGAGAGAGAGAGTGGGGAATGACATGCAGGAAAGCAGCCACGAGTTGGATTTGAATCCAGGCCGCCTGCTTGGAGGACATCGGCCTCTGTACATGGGGTTGGCGCACTAACCACTAGGCTACAGGCGCCCCGGGCCCTAATTTTTAGTGGACACACTTTCATCAGATTAATAATTATGTTGAAGCCATCACAGGTTGTTGTGTGGCCGTGAGCAACCCTGAAATAATTTCCACCTCTTGGTTGGTATGCAGGAATAGAACCCCAGATAATTCCCCTTAAAGTCATCAGACCTGCACACATGTAAAGTGATAACTACATCTTTTAAAAGTCTTCCTTTTTATTAAACTGTAAACAGACGCTTGTATAAAAAGAAAACAAAAAGCAGACTTTGTGTGAGCTCGTGTCCTTGTCGCTCACAGTCAGAGACACTTTATAGCCGTCTTTAAGTCAGGACTTGTGTGAGTGCGTGTGAACATCAGGACATTCAAACCCACTTTAAAAACCTTTATGAGTCTGTCGCTCTGCACGCCGACGGTGAGGTTTATCCTGATGGAATGCTGGAAAAAGTAGCAAAGGTCGACATCACCCGCCCACACCCACACCCACCCGCGCCTGGACTCGGTTACACTTTTGTTCCACTCACGGTCCAGAGGGTCTGTGTGTGTGTGTGTGTGTGTGTGTGTGTGTGTGTGTGTGTGTGTGTGTGTGTGTGTGTGTGTGTGTGTGTGTGTGTGTGTGTGTGTGTGTGTGTGTGTGTGTGTGTGTGTGTGTGTGTGTGTGCTGTATACAAACAAGCAGCTCTTTCAGGGAGGCCCCGCCCTCACTTCAAGCTGAACTCATAGTGTTTTTTGGCGAGCGGCGTGTAGGTGGAACATATTTTGGGTTTTGTGTGTTGTATATTTCCGTCTGCTGTCTCCATCATGTGCTGGGGGTTTTCCTGGTTTGCTCACACGCATTACACAGCACAGAGCGGGTGAACCATCCACCAAAATACACGGCTCTGTGGCCTGTGAGTCGTGCACACATGAATGGAGGTCGCTGTGATTAGAGGCTTTTCACGCTGGCCTGCAGAAACCCCAGCTGCAGTCATTTTCAGTAAAAGTGAGGTCGTCCAACCCTGCTGGTTCTGGAGACCAAACATCAGCTCTTCTTTTGATCTGTGTGTTTTTTATTCTTCTCTTCACCGTCATGTCAGACACATTTTCCAAAGCAACATTATGTTGAGCTGAACAATGTAGAAAACATCCAGTTCCTCATGTATCTGAGCCAAGCACTCTCATTGGGTAATGTGTTTATGGTTGATTGAATGGGAAAGCTTATAGGCCTAATCTCTGTTGTGAATCATTTCACATCAAGAGGTCTGACAGAGCTGAGCTGAAGTTTTTTTAAATTCAACCCTTGTATAGACTTAAAGGTAGAGTCAGCAGCGTTTTCCTAAATAATAAAATATAGACTTATACAAAAGCAATGCTGCTCAATCATCCCTTCTGGGCCTCCATACATATGTGGTAGTGACTGTGTCTGCAGAGCCCCTGTCCTCTGATTGGATTTCATGTTGTTGTTTGTTTTGGTTGACTCGGGACGTTTCTAGGCAGGGAGCTGGTGTGTTTTCCTGCAGCCAATGAAAGCATGCAGGTGACTTTAGGGATGGATACAATTCAGTGATTTTTATTTTTATTAAAGATTTATTTTTGGGCTTTTTGTGCCTTTACTGGAGAGACAGGACAGTGGACAGAGCTGGAAATCAGGGAGAAAGAGTAGGGAATGACATGTGGGAAAGGAGCCACAGGCCGGAATCGAACCCGGACCGCCCGCCCGGAAGACCACAGCCTCCATACATGGGGTGCGCACTAACCACCACGCCACCAGCCGCGGATTTGGAGTTGGTATGCTTTCTGTCTGCAGCCTGCACCAGCTTGCAGTGTACGAGCAGTAAAAGTACCGTCTACGTCCTGCAGTGGGTGTGCGCTTCTGGTAGCGATGAGACCGACAGCAGTGAGAAAATGGTTTTCTCGTATCATAACAATGGACTTCCGCCGCCTGCTGGCATGGAGCGGTATTTCCTCTCACGCATCTGCAGATCGTACGTGGTGGTTGGCCATCGGCTGTAGTCTTTGCGGTGTGTTCTGGTGCAACTTTTTTGTCCAAGATAAAAGGCGACGCCACAGTCCTTTGCCGTCTGCTTGGTGCATCAGGGACTTTCATCGTCAGCCTTTTCCTCCAAAGAACATTTAATGCTTGTTTTCCTTTGGTGATTAAATAGTGTCCGACATCAAATATAAACCGTCTCAGTTTCTCTTATCACTATTTCTCGTCCTCTCCAGAAAACGACAAGCCGATGAAGGGTCTTCGTCAGGAGGATCTGGTGAACCAGGACCTGATCACAGAGCTGAGGAAAGAGTTCAGTATGGTCTACGAGGACTTCTACATGGTCCTCACCGACACCGACATGAGGGTGAAGGTAAGGACTCACTCTCAGACTGCGACCCAATGTTAGGTGCTTGTTCCAGATTATTTTTGTCTGTTATGTTCCCTACGTATCCCAATATGCTGGGGCGGCTGTGGCTCAGTGGTGAAGCTCAGTGTCCCTCAACCAAAAGGTAGAGGGTTCAATCCCCATGTCCTGCATACAAACCAACTTCCCTTAAAATAAATGTCTTTCTGCAAGAATCTGCAGGGCAAAAATGTATGCATGCTCACAGATAAACATTCAGGGATTTTAAAAGCCTTGACATAATTTGTGACTTCCTGCATGATTCTTTCATGGACTCGTTGGGCTCAGGCGAACCTGTCCTCTTAACAGCCTCTGTACATAGGGCGTGCAAACTAACCACTAGGCCTCTGGTGCCCAGAGCTTTTCCTTTTTAATGTTTCACTCATTAACTCCCCAAATGAATCCCTTTTTTTTTCAAAGCTATTTGTGGCACTGCTGTCAGTCAGTATGTCTCCACTTTAATCTCCTCTCTCTCTTTAAAGGGGGGCTAACCTTTTCTTGTACTGCAAACATGCCGCCTTCACTAAGACACTGTTTTAATTCACCCAACATGACATTTACCCACCACCTGTATGTGTGTGTGTATGTGTGTGTGTTTGTGAGAGTACATGCCAGGGTAAATCACCCGGCTGTTTTTGGAGAGGTCCATCAAAGAGACCAGTGTTCACTCTGTGCTGACTGTGTGTGTGTGTGTGTGTGTGTGTGTGTGTGTGTGTGTGTGTGTGTGTGTGTGTGTGTGTGTGTGTGTGTGTGTGTGTGTGTGTGTGTGTGTGTGTGTGTGTGTGTGTGTGTGTGTGTGTGTGTGTGTGTGTGTGTGTGTGTGTGTGTGTGTGTGTGTGTGTGTGTGTGTGTGTGTGTGTGTGTGTGTGTGTGTGTGTGTGTGTAGAGGAGAAGGTGTGAAGAGTGAAAATGAGCTGAGCAGCCGATTCAGTAGACCCTGAGAAGGTGTGTGTGTGTGTGTCTGTGGTTCATCTCCCTACATGTGTTAGATATTCACGCTGAGATTTTCCAGCGTTTTGTAAATTAAAGTGAATTCTGTGTCATGTTAAACCGGTATGTCTTGTGCTGCTTCCCAGAAACTATTAGAAGGAATTCCTGTGATGTGGTCGAGTCTGCACCACATCGACTATCACATTTCAAACTTTGCTTCATCACTTCATTGGAAACAGTTTCTTCATTGTCTCTTGTATTTTCGTGACCTTGAGTCCCCTCCAGAACATTAGTTCTCACAGACATATCGGGGTATTAATCCTGTGGCTTAACAGAGAATTCATGTTTTTATTTATGTTGGGTTTTTTTTCAGCAATCCTACGAGGTTCCCATCGCCATGAAGGCCGTGTTCGACTACATCGACACCTTCTCGTCCCGCATCCGAGAGATGGAGCAGCAGAAGAGGGACGGGGTCGCCTGTAAGAAAGAGGACAAGCCCAGGTCCCTGGAGAACTTCCTCTCCAGGTAAAAGTTGTTTATATAGTTTAATATACACACAATATGTTTTATCAACTGCCTCCTTAAAGTCAAGGCTTTCTAGAACATCTTACTCGACTTCCATTTTGTCAGTCAAATCTCCGCACTTTTCTTTTAGGCACAGAAAGCGATGCAGGAGCATCAGCTTTGGGTTGTAAAATTTACAAACATGGTCTTAAAATGAGCTCCAGTGTGTCTAAAAGTTACGAGGTGTTTACCAGGAGACACATTTCTGCAGAGACTCCAGAGAAGTACTTTTACATGCGCAGTCAAGCGGAGCTGCAGTTATAGCTCATTCAGGTCACACACTAACCCCAACCAGCTCTGGGGAGAATCCATTTATTGACAGAAGTACATATGTCTTACTCTGCTACAGTAGTTGGGGATACGCCCCCTTTAAGCTACTTAAAGGAGCAATATGTCAAGCTGACACCTAGTGTTTAAAATGGGTACTGCAGTCTGAATTCTTAACATTGTAGAGAGCTGTCTACCCCCCGCCCCCTCCTCTCTAGAGTCGATGCTCACGCAGGTTGCCATGTGGTGGACACTGAAGCTTCAGTGTTTAGCCAGCTCTGCATCGGTCTCTGCGTTCTAACCTCTCTCCATTTTTTTAAAAGCATCTCCAATACAATATTTTTGAATCAAATTTGTATCTGAAGAGATTTTTTTGAGCAGCTTGTTGTCAGAATATTTGGTTGGTCTCATCAAGCTGTTTCTGCTTCCATGAAACATCTGTCGCTTTGCTCAATAATCTGCATTTTATCGCCTTTTTGAGCAGCATTCAGGAGTCTGCAGCAGCCTGTTTGTGTGGCTTCCTCAGATGGTAGAAATTTAATCGACCCCCGCTGCACCTCAGGGCTGAATCACTGCAATCACACGTTTCTGTGAGATGGCTAAAGCAAGAAAAAGGCTGTCTTTTGTTATCATGGGAACCACCAGCTCCAGTTCAGTGGCAGGTTTTTGACCATAATTCGTGGTTGTCACCCTCTGGCAGTAACAGTACAGGAAAATGTAGCAGCACAAACAGCTTGTCCTTGCACAGAGCTTTTGCTGCTGCACTCACGTATCACTTAAATCCAGGCTGAAGTTTTCTGTGATTGCAGGTTCCGATGGAGACGTCGCCTCTTCATCATCTCCGCCCCCAACGACGAGGAGTGGGCCTATCAGCAGCAGCTCTACTCCCTCTCCAGCCAGGCCTGCAACCTCGGTGAGCCACTCTGAATAACATTACATCTGGACTTCTGAATGGTGGTCATGATGACCATTCAGAAGTCCAGCCCGAGGTACTGAAGAAGGGTGAAGTCCGAGTGAAAAGTTTGCATTTACATATACAAATCCTCCTGGAAGTTTTTCAGGAGTTTTCTGCGAGTTTGAAAGCCCACTGACCGTGTGAATTTAGTCATAAAGTATTTTTTGGTGCCATTTTTGATTTCAGTGTGCCCTTCATCAGTGTGGTCACTGCTTTGGAGGACTCTCTCTCTCTCTCTGTGTGTGTGTGTGTATGTGTGTGTGTGTGTGCTCTCAGCTCGAGCAGCTCTGAACGCTAACTGCTCTTTTTGTGCGCCAAACTATTTCCTGTTGCTGAAGCCAGAAACAAACAAACAGGACAGAGAGTTCACTTCCCAAGCATGCCAACGGGGAAGAGAAAATGTCAAAATCTTAAATGTAGTCACTGCAGCATGAATCACCTTTTGTTAGTTCAGATTGGTAGAATAATATTAATGCTGCATGATTTACAAAGTGTTACAATTCACCTAGCAGACAATTTTATCCAAAGCGACGTACATCAGAGAGTAAGTACAACACTAATCCATTCATACACCGCCAGTAAAGCAGCGGGAGCAATTCGGGGTTAAGTGTCTTGCCCAAAGACACATCGGACATGTTGCTCAGCTGGGGATCGAACCCTCGACTTTTCAGTTGAAGAGCGATGACTCTACCAACTGAGCCACAGCCGCCCCTTTTATTATTTATTTATTTATTTATTATTTCATCTGAATAGACACAAAATCTGAGGGACTTCATCTGCCCAAAATGTAAACCCTCATCTGATTTTATATCAACATCGATATGCTGTCTTTCAGTGTGATATATTGCTGGTTCTAAATGTCTAAAAAGGCACAACTAGCTTCTAAATTGCTCCAGATACTTTAGCGTGCAGCTGCCTAACAGGCTGTAAAGGCTGTTAACTTCACATTAAAATAAGCCTAACCCCAGCGTGTCCTCTAATATTGCCGATATTTTGCTTTAGTCGGTTTCTCCTCCTTGTGACGCCATCATGCAACTGCATGGACTACTCTGTAAATGAAATGGTAATTGCAGAGAAATGGCGAGAAAATTGGAGCATGTCAAGGACATTGTTGTTGGCGTAACAGTGTCTTTTGCTTTTTTATGTGAATGAAGATGTTTTTGAGAACTTATCGTGTGTGGATGGGATTTTTTTTTTTTTTTTTTGGAGGTGTTTTCGGCCTTTTTTGGAGAGATAGGACAGTGGATAGAGTTTGAAATCAGGGAAAGAGATAATGGGGAATGACTTGTGGGAAAGGAGCCACAGGTCGGATTTGAACCCGGGCCACCCGCTTGAAGGACTATAGCCTCCATGCATGGGGCACTCTAACCCTAACCCTAACCCTCCAGCGGCCTAATGGGATTATTTTTGTATTATATTATTATTATTGTGTTCTCTTCGCCCAGGTCCCTAGTGTGAGACTTTGACTCCTAAATGTTTTTTGGTTTTTTTTAAAGCCTTGATTAAAAAAAAAAACTGAACTATCCTTTAATTTCACTCCGGAATGTTTCCTCTTACAGCCTGCCAAAGTATTAGACTACTTTACAATTTATAAATCACATCAAGAAGTGGATTCAATTCAGTCTGTTTGTTTGCTGGGCAAAGAGACTGTGTGTGTGTGTGTGTGTGTGTGTGTGTGTGTGTGTGTGTGTGTGTGTGTGTGTGTGTGTGTGTGTGTGTGTGTGTGTGTGTGTGTGTGTGTGTGTGTGTGTGTGTGTGTGTGTGTGTGTGTGTGTGTGTGTGTGTGTGTGTGTGTGTGTGTGTGTGTGCAGAAGGATCCCAGATGACAGAGCTGGCAAAGAGCTGCTCTGTTCTGTCTGCAGCTAATGAGCTCCTTCCCTCCTTGACGACGGCCCTTTCAGCGAGCCTGTTTCTCAACTTTTCCACAGTTACTTAAATGTTATTGCTGTATATCTGAAACAAAGAGGCATTAATCTAAACTTTACAAATCTCAACAACCCCGATGTGTCTTGACAGATTTATGTGAGATAAATGTGAAATTTAGAGCCCTTGGTGAACTCGCACTCCTCGGCTAAACCAAATAAATCCCCTCATGTGGAGTTCCTGCTTTGTTTATAGGAAATTAAAGATTTCTGACATTTCTCTCTGGCTCTTACATCTTTCCACAAGCACTCTTTCATACATTTTTTTTGCAAGAGTCAAAGTCATAAATCTGACAAAAACATTTCCCAACGATTCTGATGGTAAAAGTTTACGATTGCTCAATCAACAAGATTCAAGAACTTCTTCTGATGCAATCTTGTTCAAGTGTTAAAAATGTCAGAATTTTTGGCTTATGCTACTGCAGGGGCTTTCAGATAGGATGAAGTGTGCGCTGCGCTCGCCGCGGGGTAGGATGCAGAGCAGGTGGGGGTCGCTGCGTGCAAATCAACAGCGTAAGTTGCTAGGTGACCGAAACGATAGTTGGGAAAGTAGCTCCTGCCACAGCACACTGTATCCGTCCACTCTTCAATAAAAAGCTCTAAAGCTCTGACCTTCCATCTGCTCAGGACGAGGAGACGAGCGGCAAAAAAAAGGAAGAGGGTGTGTGTTCATGAAATCCTCAGGGCACGACAGGATGTGGAGTTTAGGCCCGTCCAGGAGCTGCAGCTCTAAAACGACCACTCCACAATCATGACACACATTTCTGCTGCTTTTTTAAACACACCTGGTACGCACAAACCGTTCAAAATGTTACCAACCAAGAGCTCTCTTGCTGATGTCCCCGGTAAGAAACCCCAAAAGAAATTCTGGTTCCCCGTTGCTCCAACATTAATGTACAAAGAAAAGACACAAAAACTATAAGGAAAATGCATGCCAAGAGAACAACATAAAGCTGTATAATTTTAAGTGGAGTATTAATTTTAAGTATTAAGTGGAGAAGGTTTCATTTTAAATAAATGTGCCTGAAAATCGAATGAATCAAGGTATAAAAGGTTAAGTAACAAGTAACTTCAGCCGCCAGTTTGGTCTTTGAGCGTCGCAATTGTGGATTTTGACCATATTTGGATGCCAAGGTGGATGTAGATTTTTTACGTTGCTATTTTGGTTTTCCCTGTTGCTGTTAAGGTGGTCTGGTGATCCCAGGTTTGCTTATAAAAAGCAGTAAGAATAGTGACATCAGTATTTATCCACACTGTTTTGCCACATGAGTCAGGGGGCTGGAGAAGGAAAGCTTGTCTTGCTTATCACCCGGTCCAGACCAGGTCTGTGAGGACTTTCTTCCCCCCTGGTTTGTTGGTCTTGGCTGCGTTTGTACTGTTGCCTTGCCACACAGACAAAGACCTGTCCTGTTGAGTGGGCTGAAGACCTCAGAGGTCTGATCCTGGTAGTCAGCACTTGGCTCTCTCTTAAGGAGGGTGTCCTCTTGTGGGCTCTCTTGCCTCAAAGGAGACGGGTTGTTTTTGGCTGGACTCTCCAGACCACTACGATCTCCTCCCTTTACATAAAAAAAAAACAAAAACAAGCCCGGGATGGTTCCAATAAAAATCAGCCAGGATGGGCAGCAGGACGGTGCTGAATAAAAGAACAGTTGGTCTGCACGATGTATTTCAAATCTGTCTCTCTTTGTAAGATATCTGCTTCTCCCTGATGTCGTTGTTGTTTCCATGGTTACAGGTCTGAGGCACATCGCCATTCTGAAGCTGGCCGGCACAGAGTTACTGGATATGGGTGGAGTCCTGGAACTGTATCCTATCAATGGTGAGAAGCTTTTCCTCTGTCGAACGTCGAATACACACATGCTACATATATATAAATGAATGCCCTTAAAATCATGTTTTTAGTGAACGCCAAGACCACAAACACGAAGGGCATTTATCGTGCACGCTTCATTTAAGTAGAAATATCTTCTACATGTTGAATCGGCCGAAAAAAAAAAAAGGCAGACGGGGGTCGACGGCTAGCGATGGAGCTGGACACACCGCAAAAAACTAGAGCGATGATCTCCTTGGTGTTTCAGGGCCTTAACAGGCAAATCCTCAACACTGTACACCCTTACAGCTGCACCAACACTCAGGCTGCCCTTAAACTCAAAAAGCAAATGTGTTGTATTTTTTTCACTTCACATAACCTGCAAGATGTTGCTCAAGGGATCTCCTAATCAAATGTGGCATTAAACTTCCTGGGAATAAGGAAAAAAATGACTCCAGCTTTAGCAGTAAAAACTGGAGCTGTAACCAGGGGACTGAACTTGTTGACATCTCTGCTTTTGGCATTAAAAGGCTCAGCATGTGGAGATGAAAAAATGTCAACCAGGCTCAAAGCAAACAATTCTGTTCACTTGGGGCTGCCCTAAATACTTTCCTATAATTCCTATAATAATTCCTGACCTGGATATCTGCTCCATCCATTCAGGGAGCGCTACTGTGGAGCGTGAGGGACTGTCGGGCATGCTGGTGAAGGACATGAGGAACTACTTCCAGATCAGCCCGGAGTACTTCTCCATGCTGCTGGTGGGGAAAGACGGCAACGTGAAGTCCTGGTACCCGTCGCCCATGTGGTCCATGGCGATCATCTACGACCTGGTGGACTCGATGCAGCTGCGGCGACAGGAGATGGCCATCCAGCAGTCACTGGGTATGCGCTGCCCTGAGGACGAGTACGGCGGCTACGGCTACCATCAGCACGGATACGAACACGGTTATCAGGACGGATACCACCAAGGCTACGGCTACTAACTCCCCAGCGTGCATCGCAGCTTGTGTGTGGTGTCTTAACTTCTTTTAAATCTTTCCAGTTGGCTCGGACAAATTGAGGTCCTTGAATGTTTTGTAGCACTTAATGAAAGCCTCCGAACGGTTGCTTTCACCTTTACAGCTCTTTCATTTCAGTTTATATCGCTGCGAGTGAAGACACTTTGTCAAGAGGCTTTAATCAGAGAACTGTTAGTGTAGGATTGTGTAGATGAGCCTGGAGGTTCAGGGATTTATTGTCCAAAGTTTGTAATTTAGATTTTCTAGTTTGGTCATTTCCTACAGAGGGTATTTCTGCCACCAAGTTAAAACCAATGGGATCATTATCAAGTGAGAACAGGATATTTTGATGCAATTATGACATACAAACTTAAGGTAGAGTCAGTAGCATTTTTTTTTACCTTACCGTCACTGCAGGACGGAGTGTGTACGTTTACAGCTTGTACCTACACTGCAAGCTACCGCATGCTAGCACAAGCTAACCGCCGGTGTTTGGCATCTACCTGTCCAACAGGAAGCAGGCCAGCTCCACATCTGTGGGTGAAAACCAACACAAGGTTCACCCTCGTTTTGGTTGGAACGAGCTCTGTCCACTTGGTGTTACAGTTGACAATAATTACCTATATTTTGTTTTCTGTGCTGTTAAATGTCCGTTATATTCTCGTCAAATCGCTAAATTGTTCCACTCCGAAACTTACCTGCTGCGCTGTCATTGGCTAGAGGAAACACACCAGCTCCCTGCCTGGAAACGTCCGGAGTCAACCAAAACATGAAAATCAGCCACCATCACAGATGTATGGAGGCCCAGAAGGGACGATGGAGCAGCTTTACTTTAGGAGAAGTCTATATTTGATTATTTTAGGAAAAAGCTACTGACTCCATCTTTAAATGAACAGTACCTTTTTGTATGAGAAACATTTCATGTTATACTTAAAAGATTTTATGATGTTTTACAATGATGTGTTATGTGATTTTATTCATGTCCTAACAAGATAAATAGTTCTAATCAGTGAATCGACGTCTTATTTATGAAGCAGCAAACATAACTGACGTTTTCTCAAAAGCTGCACCAAAAGAGCCGGCTGAACGGGGACGCACTGATGCATCGCTTGAACATGAGTATCACCTGATCACGGCCACATCTGCCCATCAGCAAATAATGTGACATGCACCACTGTCACTTTCCGGTGTGTGTTTGTTGTGCTGCATTGAATGTCGCCAGCCTGGAACACCTACCTGCTGATTCAGAGGAGAGGTCTTTTTTTAATGGGCACAAGTCACCTGTTGGCAGTGTGGGCGTCTGACAGCGTCTCTGAGGAAGATCACCGACATGTTTCTGTGACATTTCAAGCGGAGGGACTGCTAACAACAATTTAAATTAATCAAATCTTAAAGCTCAGGGCGCCAATGGCCTAGTGGTTAGTGCATGCGCCCCATGTACGGAGGCTATGTACGCCCTCCAAGCAGGTGACCCAGGTTCAACATGTGGCTCCTTTCCTGCAATGATATTCCCCACTCTCTCTCTGTCCCTGATTTCCGACTCTATCTACCGAACCTGACATGTCCTATCTCTAAAATAAAATCATAAAAAGCCTAAAAATAAACCTTTAAGAAAAAACAGACACAAAAAATTAGGAAAAAGAACTGGGGGAATAAACATTGGTTACACCTTAAATTAAGGTCACAATATTCACCATATACTAGCTGCTTATTAGCATGCTAACTAGTAGCATACCGGCTGCTTATCAGTCATTTTAAGCGCTTTTTAGCACCTTAATCTACATGACCATAATCTATACATAATGTCATTAACTAAGAGTTTACTCTTCCTAATTACTGCTGATTGATAGTAAGAATAGGAAGTTGTTGAACATGAATTATGACCTTATAATGGCCAAACTAAGCAAAGCATTTTAAGATAATAAATAATCCGCTTAATGACTCATAATTACCTGGTGGCCTAGTGGTTCGGGTTCGGTTTTGGGTTCGATTCCCAGTCAGGGAACAGCTGATTAGCATGCTAATAAGCAGCTTGTGTAAGCGGTTGTGTTTTTCTGCTGGACTATGGAGGGTGTGTGTCTGTCTCGGATGTTTATGATATTTATTATCATACCAATTAAATACATTTTTAGCACAAGTGATCGTATAGTGGAATTTTACATTGTCTTTGATGACCAAATAAGAGCATTTTCAATTTTTATCTGTATATAAACATACCAAAATCATTTTATCACCTAACCATCAATGAATTGCATTTTATAGCTTTTTACAACTAACACAAACAACATGAATTTACAGTTCACTTTTTATGTAAAACTAATTTAACCGTGCCTACCTGGTGTATAATACAAAAGCACACAATCAGCGTTGATATGCAACTGCAAGGACTCACATCTGTATAACACAAAAACACGCACACAAGAGCATTAACCTTCAGCTCAGGAGAGATTCCTTTGCTGAGGTATGTACGGTGGCCAGCTAGGAGCCCTACAGTTGCGCTATTAGACCACCAGGCGGCAACAAAGTAACATAAATATGACAGACACATCAATTTTGTAGAAATTCATAAGAGGTTCATTCTAACTCTGTTACACTAGTTTATGGTGAATATCCATCCATCCATCCATCCATTTTCTTCACCGCTTTTTCCCGTTCGGGGTCGCGTTGGGCTGGAGCCGATCCCAGCTGTCATGGGGCGAGAGGCGGGGGTTACACCCTGGAGTGTCTCGTCTAAACCAAACTGTTACATCATTAAACAAAATCATGTTCTGACTTTACTGTTATAGGATATGTTTGTATGTCCTAATGATGTGAAAATGTCTTGTAGTAACATCTAATTTTATAACAACACCTCTGCATGTGGTGATGTGATTGTGAACCGTTTCTTTTTCAGGTGTGGCAGCGATACACTTTTTTTTAACTTCCCTTCAAGGTCGAAAAACATGTTTGTATTTATTTGACATCTGTTGCATCTGCAGGTTTTTATCTCTCCATTTTTGTAAAGTTTCTGTTGCTATCCATTGTTCTTATTTATACTCTGTTGTGCTTTATGATAAATAAACCTGTTTACTACCACTCTTGGGTTGCTTCCGGTGCAGAACTTATAAGAGATATAAGATACATTATTAAGAATCAAAGTCAAAGTAACTGCAGTGTAAAAAATCTGTGAAGCTACATCTCCTCCTAGTGGTCCAATGAGATGTTAGGGGAAATCCTCTGCTGGTTGAACACAGCTCCACTGTGTAAGAAGTGTTGTAGTCAAAACCAGACTAACCGAGACCAAAACATACCCGAGATCAGAGTGCTCGGAGACCAAGAAGACCAAGGCAGCGCGAGACCATTGCAAGACAATAAGACATTTAGGGTTTGAGACCGAGTCAAGACCAAGACATTTAGGGAAGCTTTCAATTCCGAGACAAGACCTTCAAAAAGCAGACTTGAGACCAAGATCGATTTGAAGTACTACAACACTAGTATGAAGTTACACATGTTAATTTGTCATAATAAAATATACAAACAAGGCTTTGAATAACATCAAGACAAATTAAAAAGCAGTTTTTATTTGCAGTTTATTTGCAGAATCTCAAGCAGTCAAAGGTCGGACTTTATGGCACATACAGGAATTTTCATAGAATAAGACTTACGGGAACTTCACAGTTTGAAAACATCAAACAGGAATGTGTAAAGCAGACGCACTAACTTCACTCTGTGCTCTTGGTTGTTGTACGTGTTCACGGTTTGAGCTGCAGAATAGAAAGCCCTCTACTCTCTGAGTGTGTAAACATATAATTTACAGCCACCACGGCCATGTCTGGAAGCTTCAGTTTGTGCTTTTCTGTGATGCTAAAACGTTTCCCTCATGGTTTCAGTATAGACCGAATATTGCATTTACACTGCACACATATTGTTATACAATCATACGACTGTCGACGTGAGGATGCTGCTCGTACAACCACCTGCAAGCAGCCAAATACCTGCACACACGGCAGGAATCAGCAAACTAAAATCAATAAAAGAATCTGCCTCATGATCCCAAACAGCAAATACAGTGTTCCTTCCACTTAATTAGGGAGTATTTTTAAACCATGGCCCTATTAAACATGGTTTGGGGTCTAACCGACTTTTAGGATCAGGGTCTGGAACTGCTCCAGTCGGTTGACTTAGATGGCGGCTGCAGAACAGGCTGTAATGGCAGCAATGGTCAGTCTTTCCACTCAAAGTTCCTGTTTTATATTCACTGACTGACTCAGATTGTTATTCTAAGTGTCTGACAGCGTTACAGAAAGGATCCCTGCAGCGATCCCTTTTTGTTACAAAGGGAAGATGATATTTTAACCTTGAACAGCTGTTACATCACTCTCAAAAAAAAACAAAAAAACACCCAAAATATGTAAACATAGGGCCGAGGTTAAAAAGTACAGGCGTTCCCCTTTAATTAAAGCACTTATACAAAGACAGGCACATTTCAAAATATACACAACAGCCTTAATACTCACAAGAGTTCATCACACACTTGATCCACAGGATTCACTGTTTCCCTGCTGACAGTCGGTCAACGCTCGGACACCAAACCCCTGCACGCCCTCTGCGTTCAGGAGCGTCAGTCCACAGAGCAGCTTCATGACAATCCTCTGTCCCGAATGTGAGCGCTAACTCAGCACTACAAAGACTCCTCGTCTGACTCACTGTCTGTGTTCGTCTTGGTCAGCAGCTCCAGCTCCTCGCCATCCTGCAACACAATAAAACATCGAGAAGAGATCAATTAAGAATCAGAAAAGCAAGCAGCTGTGATATCAGTCTATTCTTCTTCTACAGCAACAAAGATCTTTAGAGACATATGCAGAGTTTTGTCCTGCCTACCCGAGGTCACTTCAACTTGTGACTGCAGGATGTCTGCACAATCTGTCAATGAGGTTAGGCAAGTTTTTTTAAGTTATGTTCTTGCTCATATGTTTTCTATTTAAGATCTTATTAAACGGGATTATGCATAAAACAATCTTATGTAGCCATATCACGGTCACACACAGACACAATATGTTTTACACCCAAATCAATGCAACATTATGGTGCCCTGAACGATTGTGCAAAACAGAGACGTCTTCGCTTTCAGCTGTAAAACAAATTAAGTCCCCGTGTCCACCTGGCGTTTTTTCCGGGCAGTAAAGTGCTGGCTGTGCGCTCGGGAGTATCTGCATGAAGCATTTGTGCTCTGAGAAGAAAAGCGCCGACAACAGGCGCTGCATGACCGACACTGCTCCGTTACTTTTTACTGCATGTTTTTTTAATTTGAGATCGTTTATTTCCCGATCCGACGCAAGCTGTAGGAGGCTAAACTACGGGGAATATCTTACATTTGGAAAAGATCGTTGCTAATGTCAACAGCGCCTTTCTGAAAAGTTGAACACTTTTCAACTTGAGCGCTCGGAGCGGAATCACAAAGAAAAGACGCCGGGTGCTGCACTTTTTCTCCAGGCGTACGCTTTCTGCTGCAAAGGCCCTCTACTCATACTTAATAGGACGCCACTTGAGAAATGTTTGGAAGTCAAAGAAAAGAGAAAGTCGAGCCTGAGTGATGACAACCAGAATCAACAGGAGGATCTGATCTGATCAGGGGGAGGTTTTAGGGAGGTCAGAGGTCAGAAACATAAACGAGAGGCTATCTCTTGAGCATCACCAAAACCTTCAAGTCTTCTAATGCTAAACAAAAAAAGTCCCCTCAGAGTCCCGCAGAGTCCAGAACAGCGTCCTCATAAGGCCTCACTGACATCTGTTCTGTTTAAAAGCTTCCTCTTTCACAATCCAATAGACTTCATCGACTTAATGAAATCATGTGAGCTTAGTCTCCAGAGTGAGTCTGAATGCAGAGATTCTGTTTCCTCCTGCATGGAAGAAATCACATTATAGAGACACGAGGGCCAAGTTTTCCTAGAGTATGTGTGTGGGTGTGTGAGTGAAGGGAGGAGGGGGCTTTACATCGGGGTTAGCTGAGGAGAGGACCGTGACTACAGAAGGTCTGTGTGTGTGTGTGTGTGTGTGTGTGTGTGTGTGTGTGTGTGTGTGTGTGTGTGTGTGTGTGTGTGTGTGTGTGTGTGTGTGTGTGTGTGTGTGTGTGTGTGTGTGTGTGTGTGTGTGTGTGTGTGTGTGTGTGTGTGTGTGTGTGTGTGTGTGTGTGCAATCTGATCCGTACCCCTCTGGACCTCTCGAAAACCTCTCCGTTGACGACCCGCAGCTTCTCTTGCTGCAGGCTGTACTCCAGGTCTTTTGGCCGGCTGGCGTTGTAGATGAAGATGGCCAGCAGGACCATGGGAGCCTGGAGGAAGAAGTCCAGCGAGGGCCGGAAGTCGAACAGCAAGAGGGAGAGGGCGGTGACCAGGACGGTGGTGATCTGTCCTGTCAGGACGTGGAACATGTTGTCTCTGAATTTCAGGATGAAGGCCACAGATAAACCCAGGGCCGCTGCGGACAGACGAGGAGAGATGGCAAAAAAAAACATTTCTATAGGAGGCATCAGATCAGCAAAAAAACCCAAATACGATCGGTTTAAAAGATGCAAACGAAACAGAAAATTGATCTTTCAGGTATGAGGGACTTAATTCTTATTGGCTCACCGGTGACCAGCACCAGACCCAGTGAGTAGACGTTGTGTCCGTGTAGGAGGCCACAGTGGACAGTGAGTCCGCGTGCTTCACTGCCGAACCCGAGGGTCATAGCGTTAAACACAACGCCGAAGGCATACCTGCAGAACCACAGAGCACAGGACCGGGGTTAGGATGAAGCGTTGTTTCCTCTACCTCATTGTCGTCATCACCAGACGCTCCTCACAGTTTACTGTTCTGGATGAAGATGCTCTCGGTGAGCTGGTCTCCTTCTTTCAGGATCTTCTCGTTGTAGATGTTGGCCATGGCGGAGACGAAGCACTGGAGGACGAGCAGGATGTGACCCACACCCAGGGAGCGAAGCTTCCCCACAACGCGGTCCCTCCAGGCCTGACCGGGCAGGGACGACACCCACGATCCGCTCGCACTGTGAAAACAAGCAACCAATCAGAACTTCGCACAACATGAAGGACTGAATCATTTCTGCATCCATCGCAGTGTCACATGACCTGCTGTTCCTCATCTGCTCCAGCAGCTGTGTGTAGAGCAGGCAGGAGTTCGACGGGGTGGAGAGCGGGTTAGAGTGGAGACCGGGCACGCCGATGGCATTTTGGCTGCCTCCCGATCCCGTCGTCAAGGAAACAATGGACAGGAAGAGGACGACTAAGGCCGCCCACTGAACCCAGGACAGACGCCGCCTGAAGGAAAAAGTGATGGACGAGATGTTTTTAGTTTAAGTCGTGTTAGTTTGTGTCAACTTTGATTCACCGTCGATGGAATAGGGCGCCAGTGGCCTAGTGGTAAGTTCACGTGCCCAATGTACAGAGGCTGTAGTCCTTGAAGGGGGTGGCACGGTTTAAATCCGACCTTTGGATCCTTTCTCATTCCTCTCTCTCTCTCTCCACCCCCCCTATCTCTCTCTCTCTTTTTCTCGCTCTCCCCCTCTCTCTCCCCCTCTCTCTCTCCCTCTCTCTCTCCCTCTCTCTCCCTCTCTCTCCCTCTCTCTCTCTACTGTCCTGTCCCTCAGATGTTTAGGAAACTATTGCTTTGAGTATTTGTTTCAGATTATCTTAACAAGTCAAACAAACACACACACTATCTCACTGTACAGAACACAGTGGTACGATCAGAGTTGTGCGATGAGTCACTTACTTGAGAACGATTCTGAAGAGAACAGCTGTGATCAGGATGACAAAGTTGGAGAACAACACTGCCATGACCTGGGAACGAGAGGAACCACAGCTGGGTTAGAGATAAAGAGCAGAACGATAACAGAACATGAGAAGAGCAGGGAGTCTTTAGTCGGGACGTTTAGTAAAAGTAGGTTTGATAGGAGAGGGCACAATCTACATTTGGATTTTGACTGAGACTTTTCACAGAGACTTAACAATCAGGTTCATATTCGAGGTGATCAGGTCAGCGATCGCTTTTAAATCCCTTCAACAGAATTTGGTATGGGTATTAAATCATTTGGATTTATGCAACAAAAGAAGCCCTACTGTAAAACTAAAACAAAACATTCACATCTCGTAATGATGACGAAATATGAAATATTGAGGCGTTCACTGACAGGCTGCAGGTAGGTCATCACATAGAAGACGATGAGGTTGTCGAGGAAGTAGAGGAACGCAGGGACGGACCACTTCAGAGAATTTAGGAACGATCGACTAGAGGACCAGCCGAGCTCTCTGCAGGATCGCCCCTCTGAAGAGAAACAGAGAATGAAACTAGTTCAACACACACACACAAGAACACACATGCTGAGATGTCAGCGACTTCTGTCTTTACCTCGGACTATGACCCTGAGTGACATCAGCAGGCAGAAGAGCAGTTTGAGCAGCTCAGCGAGCAGATTGACCGACGCAGGGAGGAAGTCATACTTGCTGTCTGCAGATCGACGACAAACCAAAAAAGACACGCTCAACAATTTTATAATTAGTGTCCTGATTTAAAGATCTTAGAACGTCTCGTCATCTGCCTGAAATAAAGAAATAAATCCATAGTCACCAGCGTTTGCAGAGAATTTGAGCAGCAGGATACGACTGGTCCCCAGGGTGACGAAGCCCAGGCCGAGGGCCAGCGTGTAGGCCAAGGAGCGCGAGCACAGCCTGGGGGAGGGCGTGCAGTACGACATGGCTACGACTGGAAGTCGAAGCAGCCAAACCTGATTTGACACAAAAACAGAGTTAGGATCAGACTTTGTGCTCAGTATACAGGTCATCATGAGATTACTTTACAGAATCTGTAACACAAAGGGAAATGGATAAACCGGTTTGCTCAGTACAGAAACATTACAGCACATGAAATGCAAGTTATTTATTTTCTACTGTTTTAGAGAAGTTAATTTCCACAATAACCACAAAAGAGTTCATCAGATATGAACTCTTTCATCAGAAAACTTATCCAAGCTTTAATAGTTGAGCATATTTAAAGTAGAGACCAAGTCAGTGAACTATGAGGGCAAAAAAACAAAATAATCGTTCATGAATCGTAATCGAGGTCAAATGTTCAATTAATCGTGATGTTGATTTAAGGTCATATTGCCCAGCCCTAGCTTCACCCTGACCCGGATGACTGAGGACCTGCACAGACACCGTCGAGGGCAGAAACAGGTCAAATAAATGACAAGAACATCTATTTGAAAACACAGTTTGTAGTTGTTGACTGGACATGTTTTTAATCATGGGTGAAAATATCACAGCTACAAAAGTCCTAGACCCTTTAATATTAGGTCATTCCTTGTTTTCAGGAAGTCTTTTACTAAATGCAAGAATATCCCATGAAACAAGAAAAACATTAGACTTCTGCAAAACTTCACAGAGTGTAAAAACATTTTCTGCAGGAATTTAATGTTTTTCTTTTGCAGCGGGTGAAATGTTTTTTTAATGCTTCATTGTTACGTCTTTATGTATTTGCATTTCATGAAATATTTTTTGCATGTTGTAAAATGTTTTCTGGCAGTCCTGAAACAGTTGTGCAGTTGACCTTCCGGGCCACCGTACAAACAAGTGTCCAAGCTAAATTGGACGGCAGTGAGTGAAAAAGGCGAAGTTTTCGTGCTTTTGTTTTGTTTATAAAAATGTGATTATTTTCCAACTTTTAAATTAATTACCTTTTTAGTTGGACTGTCGGTCGAACAAAAAATGACTTAACAAGACGAACGAATCTGTTTCTTACTAATTTCTGACATTTAATGGACCCAACCACTGATCAAAACCTTAAATATCTTTGAGATATCGTTTGACATTATGTTAGCTTCCTTTACAGTTAAATTCGTAATGAAAGAGCACAAAAGATGAACTGAAATTAGGGACGTCGGATAATTTTCATCAGCAGGAGAATCTGAAGTAAACAAACAACAACAGAGCTAAATTAGCATCTTTGTTCCTGATTCAAAAACCGTCATATTTCTACATATATTCACCCTTCCTTTTATAAATCACGCTTCTTCTGTTTAATTTAAAACACAGTGATACTCATAAGATGCACAGAAAGCAGTTTAAAAGAGTCACTTACTTGTGGTTATCCTTTCTACAAAGGAATCTCTGAAGCATTTTTGTTTTCAATACACTCTTCCTGTTCCTAGATTTCTATGCGCATGCGTACTGGCACAGGTGCCGCGATGACGTCGTCGTACGCGCACGCACACCCGGACTTTCGATTGTCCCGGATTTGCATAATGAAACTCTCCTTTTTCTGGTATTGCTCTTTTAGTCAGACTCTCTGAACTGATCTAAATCTGGTTTTGAATCAAAAACGTAAATGTTCAACTAAAATTCACACTTGTTCGTTCTTTTTGATGACGAAATAGCCTTCCCCAAATTAAATTAAATTAGGCTAATTACCGGTAATAAGTAGCCTAATCTTGTTCCAACATTTAAAGGTGCCAAGACTTATTGTCTTCATGTCCCTCTTTAAATCCTACATGGAAACATTACATTATTGCACACGTTCAAAACCAAAGCTTTTTCTGATTGTATTTTTTTTTCTTAAATTGTAGGCTACATATTTTAATTTATTTAGCTACTTTATTGTGACGCCCAGGGGTGGAGCAGCAATTTTAAAAGTGCGGCTGTTCTTAGGTAGTTAATTAGCAGGATTACTGCTGAATGTTTCTAACTTTACCGCACTTCAACTGTAAACGAACAGCTCTGATTGGCTGAATTATCACTCAATTAATCTAACTTGACCAATCGGTTTTCATCAATGACTCCCCCGGTAAAAAGTACGGGGGATGAAAATACGTTTCAGTAAAACTGTGAGTGTCGCAACATCACCCACATCACCCCCGGGTGCAATGTGCCTGGTGAAGCCAGCACAAAGTTCAGATACATTGATTTAGTATCTACAGCGTTGTGTAATACAGCAACGACAACAATAACATTATTAATTATGATTTTTTTTTTTTTTTTTTAAGAAATCGGAATCAGTATCATATCGGAACAGAAAAAAAGGATTGGTGGATCGAGCATCTCTCATTTATAAAATTGATTTGCATTAGCCGTATTAAACAACTGCTTACAAAACATGCTGTCTCCACATCCTGTGCAGCTGTTCTATGAAAAGGTGACAACACCTACAGACACCGGACGAGACCACGCCCAGATACCAAGGATGACTTCCACCTATCAAGCTCTGACAGCAAATGCATGGGTGGAAATACCTTTTAATGCATCAATAGTAATATTTTTAAAGGTCGAGTGCTGTTCAAGTGTTTTAAAAAAACAAATAAATGCTCCAAATGAAAATAAATTCTGTATGAGTCTGATAAACATTAGAGGGAGGACAGTGCAGGGAAGATGTGCCAGCTCTTCTTGGTACCATGAGGAGTCTCTCGGCTGTTTTTTGGATGAACTGCAGGTGTCAGAAAACCGACTCCTACATGACGAAGAATTGCGATAATCAGGACGAGGAATGCTAAATAGATGTTTATGGATGCCAAGGACTTGTCCAGGAGATACAGCACATTTCAAATGATCTCCCCCTTTAAGGAAGTTTTCACATTTAATTGCCACACAGATGATTACAGGGATCAAGAAGATAAAAGTTAAATAATGTCAGAGTGAAAGCAAACCATCTGGTTCATCTGAGTCAAAAAAGCCAAATTAAATCTTGTGTGATTTGATATTTAAAGACATAAAAGCAGAAAAGTCTTAAAAAAAAGTTAAAAACATATTGTTGGGATTGCATAACTGAATTAAGCAATCATTTAAAAATGAAAACTTGAGCGCATGTGAAGTTGTTTTTCTTCTTTGGGCAAGTGTGCATTTCTTATCCTTTAAAGGGGTCATATTATGCTTTTTCTGGTTTTATATGCTCTTTAATGTGTTTTCCAAGTGTCCTGTGCATGTTTAGGCACATCTATGTGCAAAAATTCAAAGTCTTCTCCACGTCCTCCTGTTAGCTGTAGCATTAGCTGCATGTAACGCTCGGTTCTAGCCCCCCTCAAATTTTTTTTTGCCAGTGTGACGTCTTGTCAGTGTGAGATCACTGATCTAAGCCCATTGGCTCGTTGTGGCAAGCCCTGCAGCTCATGTTGCACGCCCATTAACTTCTGTAGCACGCCCACGATATGCCGTAGCCTGTGGTAGCACAGTAGTGCTAAGGTGCTAATGTTTTTGCTCCACTCAGAGCCAAAGTGGCTGTATTCCCAATATGGTAAAAGGGGCGGGACATTTCCGAGAACCGTGCTGAGCGACTGACCAATTACGGCAGAGCTGACAGGCTGACCAATCAGATCAGACATGGCACACGCGGGGACTCTGAACTTGGGCACTTCAGAGCCTTAGAGAGAGAGTCAGAAGCGAGCTGGTGCATGGAGCGGCAGAACATGAAAACAGACACTTTTCACAAACTTCAGCTATTGTGAACATACTTTAGTGGGTACATAGATTAAATATACGAACCCCAAAAAGGGCATAATATGACTACTTTAAATCACAGAGGGGTGTCCTGATATTGGAATTTTTTTTATTTGTTTTGAATTTTAATAGCCTACTTTTTTAATCTCTGAGGGAAAGTCTGCTTCTGCACTCTGTTATTGAGAGACATGCTTTTCACACTGACACCTCTCCAACTACCAGACCAACTTCCACATTGTGATCTGCAGTGGGACTTGAACTAGTGACTCTCTGGTTCCTAACCCAAGTCCCTACAGACTGAGCTACTGCCACCTTCATACTTCAACACCATACAAGTAGCCTATTGGCTTATAGATAAAATCAGACATGTTTAATACCACAGGTCTCTAGTCGTCTGGTCTTATGCAAGTTTTGTTGTTTCATGATGTGACCATTGACAACAGCCGATAGATGCGGTCTCGCTAGTACCAAAGCTGCAAACTAGTAAACAAGGTGGGGAAGCGAAGGGACGTGCAGTTCTCCTGGACTGATGGAGAGGAGAAGAAAAACAGGTGGACAGAAATTACTGTGGCCCTTTAAATCCCTGAAGTCCCCAGTTGGTAGGGTTGCAAATTACAGCCGTTTTTCTCAACCGTTAGTTCTAGTTGGTAGAATTGTTAACAGATTGTAGGTTTATACATTTTTAATTTGTTAAATTCGATTAATGATTAATCATTAAAATCCCTAATCCCGAGTCATCACCGAGGATTTCAGCCCTTGAGATCCTCCATGGATTTTTTAAAAATCATGCATATCGTCTGTTAAAAACTCAAAACTCAAACAATTTTGATTTCTCTTTTGTTACCATGGCAACAAAAACAGAAGTCTTAGACACCCGGTGTTTTGTAAATTCTCACTTTAATTTCCCCCAGGAATTGCAGAAAATTGCACAAAAACATTGGCAATGTGTCAGTGCTGAAATGTGTTTATCTTGCAATGTTTGATGGCTTCCTTCCTCTCCTTCTCACCGGTGTTATGAAATCGATGCAGTTATTTTGAAGTTTCTGTACTTTTTGATGATATTGATCATGAAAATAACAGATTGTATTGTTTTTAAAAAGGTGGAGTCGAAAAAGTGGCAAACTACTGAACATTAACATTGCCTGTACTCATGTCATCTACAGCAGTATAAAAGGCTTATTGATCATGTGTCTCTTCCAAATTATAAAGAAAGGTTGCATCAGTTGAATCTTGTATCATGACAGTGTTTTTTTTTTCATGGTAGCTTTGCGGTTAGAGACGTTTTCTGTGTAAATTCCCGTACTCATCCCAATCATGTTGTTTTTTCCCCAGAGATGATGTGAAGAAGCACACCCTGGACCCCTCGGGGATGACTCACAGCCAAACACAGGAGGTTTTAATTACAAGAGAGGTGGGGTGGGAGGGGGGGAGAGAAAATATACTGAGACACAGTTCATTGCCCTGGGACATAATGTTTGAACACGGCACGTGTGTGTGTGTGTGTGTGTGGGTGGGTGTATGGGTTTGTGTGTCAGTGACGGATAAAGTTCAGAGCAGTGCACCTCTCTATCAGATCACTCTTCTTCTTCTTCACTTCCAGAACATAGACCCAGCTCAACCTGAGGGACTGGACATGAGGCTCTGTTTCTGGGCTGGAGCTCAATGTCTTCCGCTCATCCTGGTTCTTCTCGCTCACAGATCCGAGCAGCATCAACCCAGAGAGAGACACTACTACATCGCTGCTGTGGAGATAGACTGGAACTACTCTGGAAATGACTCTCACAGGTAGGACACTAGTGGAACATTTATGACATCACAAGAATGAAACACTTTGAAAATGACATTTTTAATTGTATTTCTGTCTCAGTATTTGTATTCCTTTAGACAATAGTTCCACATTCGCTCACGTTCTGTTGTTAAATGTATCTGTGACCCGATAACATCAGACCAGATTGTCCTCATTACATTTCTTTGGTGCTCTGTTCCCCAGCCTTGGACAGTATCAGCGTTATTTTGACAAACACACGACCAACAGTTGCATCATGAGTAAACGTGTCCTATCTTGAAGTCCATATCATAGATTGGCAGTGCTGTGAGTAGGACATGTGTATGAGTGCGTGTGTGCTGATTCTTGTTTTGTGTCTCAGGTTTGGTCCCACCTATAAGAAAGTGGTCTTTCGGGAATATGAGAAAGACTTCAGACAGGCAAAGACTCATCCCTCCTGGTTAGGTAACTATTGCGTATACACAGTCTGTCTTTAACCACAAAGAAATACTCATCCTGTCTGCAAGTCTACTATCCATCCAGACTCAAATATTAATCAGCTAATAACTTCTTAGAAGGGAGGGGATTTGAACACAACTGTTGTAAAAATAATTAAAGGTGACATATTCTCCTCCTCTTCAACCAGTGTAAATAAGTCTCAGAGCTCCTCAAAACATGTGCATGAAGTCTCTTGTTCTAAATCCACTCTGATCCTGTATTTGATCATGCCTATAAACCCCTCTATTTCAGCCCTGCTCAGAACAGGCTGTTTCTGTGTCTGTAGCTTTAAATGTAAATGAGCTGTGTCTGACCACGCCCCCTCTCTGGAAGGGCTCGGCTGGCTCGGGCTTTCTCGCTCCATGCCCTATTGTTTACCATCGTAAAGGCAGACTCAGAGGGCAGAACAAACACCTAGCTGTGGGAGTTCCACCCACCTGGGGGAGGGGTTACTGCCCTTTGTGATGTCATGAAGGGAAAATCTCCAAACGGCCTGTTTGAGCACACATTTTTACTATACTCGCTTAACGTTTACCAGCTGCAGAAAATCTAAAATCAATTTAAATAAATGTAATAAATAAATCACCCTCTCCAATGCAGCAATTTAACCATGGCCTATAGTCATCACAGATGAATACACATACTGTATGTATACTCCACATGCTAACTGCCACCCTCTGATTGTCAACAAATGCACATATTCGATGAGGGGGAGGAGCTAAAAGCACTTTCTGAGTTTAGAGACCTTCAAAGCGCACCAAGCCGTATTCCTACATATTGTTGTTTTGATATTGGAGCGACTATTTGATGAATACTGTAATGTGGTTGCCATGGAGTTGTATTTTGTCTGACTATTAGTTGCATCCCCATCTTCAGTTTCAAAAAGAGTTGAAGTGAATAACGGTGAGTAACACTGTCTGGAGTGAGACATCAACAACATCGTCCTTATTCAATACTTCTGACTTTTACCAAAGTTCAAGTTGCCCAATAGCTTCTTTCAAGAATAAATATTAGTAAGGTAAGAGAGGGAATCACATTGTTGTACATTACAAAACACGAGTGGGTGGTTAAAATGTCTTTTCACTTCAGCAACACAGCGATGAGTCAGAATGTCTTTACGTCTTTTTCCCCCGCTGTCTCATGATGATGTAATAAAACATACATGTGATGCAGAGACCTAACAAACCAAATCCTGTCTCTCTCCGCAGGTCTGGTCGGACCCACCCTGCGGGCGGAGGAGGGCGAGACCATTGTGGTCACTTTCAGAAACATGGCGATGGGACCGCACAGCATCCACCCACATGGCATCGCTTATGGGAAACAGTCTGAAGGTGGGTGTCCGTTAACTCAGCTGTGCATGAGTCTAAGCGATTCCTCTCTCTACGTCTGTGTGTTAGGGTCAGCTGGTCTTCATGATGTTACTCATTCTGATAATTATACAAGATTGGCCAACAAAACAAACAACTTTGTTTGTCTTTTTCTCAAAGATTAACCCGGAGAGGCAGATTATCAAAGTAGACTGTACAGAAGTCCAACAGGAAGAACTGTTGAGCCTGAGGAAATCACTGTCTGCTCATATAAAGAGAAATAACAGGAAGCTCATGCCATCATTTAAATAAGGGAAATTAATCCCTAATATGTTCTTAATGAAAAAGTCAGAGCGCAGAGATTTAAAGAGGACATATTCTCCCGCTTTTCCTCCTTTTCAAACAGTCCCCTGTGGTCTAAATGAAACATCTGTGCTGTGCTTTGGTCAAAATATAACATGAGTCAAGCACCAGAGGGAGAATCATAAACCAGCTCTCTCAGAATGCTCCGTTTTGGTGTGTGTGTCTCTTTAAATGCAATGAGTATGAATATGATACTTTGTTCACCTTACTTAAAGGTGCCCTGAAAGTATACCACATGGCATTTTAGACCGACTGCCCACTGTTTCTGCAGGAGCTCACTACTTTGACAACACCTCACAGAAAGAGAAAGAGGACGACGTCGTGCAGCCCAACAGTGAACACGTTTACTACTGGGAGGTGACGTCAGAGGTTTCTCCACAGAAGAGTGACCCCACCTGTCTCACCTACAACTACATCTCCCACCAGAATGTTGTTGAGGACTACAACTTGGGCCTCATCGGTACTTTGCTCATCTGCAAGCCCGGTAAGCATGTGATTGTTTTCTCTAGTGCTGGTCAGGGAAATTATTTGCATCTGAATGATAGATTTGGATTATTTTCTCTCCCGCTGCAGGCAGTCTGGATGACTCAGGGAAGCAGGTCGGCGTCCGCCATGAATACACGTTCCTCTTCGGGGTTTTTCATGAGAAGGAGAGTAAATACAAACCAAACAGCTACTCTTTGGATAACCACATCAAATACACCATCAACGGATACACAGAGGGATCCTTACCTGGTGAGTGTGTCCACTCATTTAGTAGGAATATCAGCCACACAGTGTTTCTTTTTTTTTTACTAAATATTAAGTTGACTTTGGGAAGCATAGTTTCACATAGTTTAAGAGGTTGATATTGCTCTTTTCACTTCATTTAATTTGACAGCTGTAGGGTCTAAATATTAAACTTCAAATTCAGTTACTGGTTCAGATAGAAGTGAATGTACCACAAGCAGAAACGTGCTCAAACTAGGATCACTATTGGAGATGCCTTTGAAAATTTGAGAGACGTTAGAACGCAGAAAGATTTGCAGACCGATGCAGGGGGGGGGGCGCTCTCTAATGTATAGAATTAGGACTGCAGTACCCATTTTAAACACTAGGTGTCAGAGTTACAAATTGCACCTTTGAATCAAGTCATAAATTTTACATTTCCCTAACAGTTGTCTTCATGTGATTTTTTTTATTTTTCTCTTCTTTGATGGGTGAATGGCTGAGCATAACAATAATCACCCTCCCCCAGGTAGTTAAGTTACATTTTTTTAATTAATCTGCCGATGTCATTTTGATCTTTAAATGGCTTCAATACAGAATAAAAGCTTCAAATCCCCAAACTGAATAATTGCTTCAGTGCTAAGTTCCCACTGTTTGGTATATTTTCCAGTAGCTGTTTGATCCTCCTTGATTGTAAGAAAACCTTGTTATGAAATGATCTCCTTTTATATAAAAGCATGTCATTTTCTGCTTGTGAATACTTGTCTACTGCTTTACTGTTCAGACTGATGGTAAGTAGATCATACCGTCAGTATGTACAGTATGTGTTGTACAGTCAGTGCAAAGACTGATACCAGATGTTCTGTGTAAACCAAACTATTGTCAGACAAAATACACAAAGTTCCTAACAGTCTCTTCTCTCCAGATGTCAGTGTGTGTGCAAACACACCTGTCAGCCTGCATCTGCTGGGTATGAGCTCGGAGCCTGAGGTGTTCTCTGTGCACCTGAACGGACATGTACTGCAGCAGACTGGACATAAAGTGTCGTCAGTGGGACTGATCAGTGGCTCCTCCACCACGGCCAGCATGAAGGCTCTGCACACGGGCCGCTGGCTGCTCTCCTCTCACACTGCAAAGCACATGGAGGGTAGGAGTGATAACATCATGTTAAATTATAAGAGAGCTTTTTTAAAACCAATGAATCTAACGTGTTTCTACCATTGCAGTGGGCATGCATGGTTTTGTGGATGTGAAAGAGTGTGATGGCTTCAGAGCACCCAATAGAAGAATGACCATTGAGCAGAAACGACAAAGCAAGGAGTGGAAATACTACATCGCTGCGGAGGAGATCATCTGGGACTATGTGCCTGAAATTCATAAACACGTTGACGAGTAAGCAGACTTTACATTTTATATCTTTCATACATTGCTTGCTGATAGAAGGTGATCCAGTGTCCAAACAGAAATTAAACCTTGTTTTGTTTTGTTTCTTTGTGTAGGGACTTTAAGCTCCAGTACCTGAGACAGTCACCAACACGCATCGGTAAGAAGTACAAGAAGGCCGTGTACACACTGTACAAAAACGAGTCATTCACTGAAAAGCTGGAGTCACAACAGAGGAAAAACGAGCTGGGGATATTGGGTCCTGTCATCAGGGCGCAAATCAGAGATGTCATCAAGGTGAGTTAGTATAAATGTTTCTATATTTTTTATAACAACAGGTGCATGACGAAATAATAAAGTAAATGTTGTTACTTTGATGTACAAGACGTCCCCTGATTCTGTTTCAAAATAAAAGCAGGTGGTTATCCATACAGGAAGTAATCTACCTTAAAGCTTAAGACAGTACAAAATACAAAATAAAAGCAAAACAAAAACTTAGATGCAATAATGATATTTCAAACATGCAGTCAAAAATGTGATAAATCACAATTCACAATTGAAATTCAGAGATTTGATGCAATTTTAAAAATAACAGTTTGACACCACTACTTGCAACTCTGTCTAAAGCTTGGTAACCAGCAGCTGAAAGTGTGCAGTGTTAACTAGGATGTTAAAACACTGACTTTCAGCTGCAGGTTTTCAATCAGAAAATCCTACATTTTGTGCTAATAGATTTAATTTATTGTGAAATCAAGCCGTTAGTCCTCACACATCCCTCTGTCCTCTTACAGATTGTGTTTAAGAACATGGCCTCCAGGCCTTACAGCATCTACCCGCATGGACTGTCGATAGAGAAGTCAGAAGAGGGCGCCAACTACCCAGCAGGAGGTACCAAATCTCCCATCACTGTAAAACAAATAGTTTGACTTTCTAAAACAATTCAAATGTATTTATTTATTTTATTTATTAAAATGTATTTAACCAGGAGAACCTCATTGAGATTAAGAATCTCATTTGCAAGAGTGTCCTGGCCAAGAGGGACAGCAGCACAACAAAGAGTTACAAACATAAAACACAGAGTAATTACAAACACAGTTTAACATGTCCTGAGTCACAGAGCAGAAAGTCATTAGTCAAAGCATCTACAAACTGAAGCATCTTCCTCACACACCTTCAATCTACTTTTAAAATGATTTAAAGATACAAGCTCTCCCAGACACAGATCATCCTGCAGGAGATTCCAGGCTGCCGGAGCAGCGTACCTGAAACTCCTTTTCCCCATTTCAAGATGCACTTTGGGAACAGATAACAACAACACGATTTGTGACTGGGTTGCAGAGCGAAGACTGTGTCTTCCAGCACTTTTCACATGAATACAGTTACACAAATACGTGGGAAGCAGGTTAAGTAAAGCCTTATAAATAAGGACATGCCAATGAGTTTTTCTACGCTGAGACAATGCAGGCCAGCTGACTTGATCATACAGTACATACAATGATGGCCCTGAGATTTGTTATTAATCTCAACGCACCATGATAGACAGTATCCAGAGATTTTAGGCACTGGGAAGATGCATGCATATATAAAACATCACCATAATCAATCAGGGGCATGAAAGTAGCAGCAACAAGTTATTTTTTTGCAGCAAAAGAAAAACAAGATTTGTTTCTGAAATAATGATGAGTAATGAACATTTCAATGTGTTTTCAAGGTAACCAGTCTCATGGAGTTCAGCCAGGTGAGACTCACACTTATGTATGGAAAGTTTTGGAAGAGGATGAGCCTCTGGAAGGAGACTCTCGATGTCTGACACGACTGTACCACAGCGCGGTGGACACACCACGAGACATCGCCTCAGGACTGATCGGACCAATCCTCATCTGCAAGAGTCAGTCCCTCAATGTCAGAAATGTTCAGGTAAAAAGACTCTACCATGTTTGTTGGGCATCCACTTTGGTCGGATGTGTTTTTCATTGTCCCCAGGAGATGAATCCATTCTGACAGTTGTGAGTCCTTGACCTTTCCAGTAGCACCACTATTAGGATGATTTTTTTTTTTTTCCGATATTTTCTTTTTAATTACATTTTAATTCATCAATCTGTTTAAATCTGGTCGAGATGTTGATGTTCTGGATGAATTGTGATTTCTCAGAGCTCGTTGAATGCCTGCAAACTCTTAATCTTTTCATGGGAACTTATTTTTATTCAAAGTTGTATGAATGTCTTGTGTTTTTGATGATGGGACTGCAGCAGTTTTGTGACTCTGTGTAGGAGGAGTCAAATATTTAGAAAGCCAATGAACCAAACGTGAACTGACTACATTGGTTTGTATCTACAGCTGAGAGCAGACAAGGAACAGCATGCAATGTTAGCTGTGTTTGATGAGAACAAGAGCTGGTACCTGGACCACAACATTCGACAATATTGTGATCGATCCAAAGTCAACAAGGCAGACCCCGACTTTTATAAATCCAATGTCATGCATAGTAAGTTTTGTCACAATTGCAATGACTCATTAACCTCAATCATTATTCTGTCTTTTATTTGTTCATGCGTATAATTACATTTTTCTTTGCTGCCTGAAAGAGGACTTATATTTATCAAAATGTTCTCTCAGCAATCAACGGTTATATGTTTGAGAGTGGCCCCCTCCTCGGCTTTTGCAATGGTGAGGTTGCAACATGGCATGTGTCCAGCGTTGGAGCGCAGGACTACATCCAGACGGCTACTTTTTACGGACATCCATTTGCGCTGAATGATCGGACAGAGGACTTCCTCAGCCTTTACCCCATGACTGGAGAGACCATCACTATGAACATGGAAAACATTGGTTTGTTAGATTCTTTTTTAAGTCCGATTCAACACTTTATTTTCAAAATATTGTTATGTAGCGATGCTTTAATGTAATCAAATTAAATGTCTTTAAAGTTTATGATTAATCTGTGTGTCTCTTTTGAACCAGGCCGTTGGCTCCTGGCTTCCCTGAACTCCCATGAGACAATGAAAGGAATGCGTGTGAGATTTCAGGATGTCGAGTGCTACCGCGATTACCAGTATGAGTACAATGACTTTGAAAAAAATCTAGCATTCACTCAGTGGAACCCTCCGAGCTTGGCTGAGATCAAGGAGGAAGAGAAGAAGTCAAAAACTGAAAAAGAAAAGAAGCCAGTGGAGATAGATATCTACACAGATTTATTTGCAGCAGAATTGGGTATTAGGTCTCGAAAGAACCAATCTAAGAGCTCGAGTGCTGAGATGCTGGACCTGTCTTTCCTCAACTATGATGTTGTTGATGTCCCTGATGGAGATACAGATATTATCCTTAATATGGCTAACAAAAAGCATAAAGACAAGGACTCTATACCGAAGCTGAATGCACAAAATGAGACATTATCTTCAAAATGGAAAAAGTTGGATGGACTGAATATTACAACACAAAATTTGTTGAACCAAAGCAGTGAGAATACAACACATTTTCAGATCAGTAGCACTCGTTTAACTTTAGACAATTCTACCACATCTAAAACAGAGAACACAACAGGTTTTCATAGCTCGTATACACTGGCAAAGAATGAAACTATTATGACAAAAGCTAACAATGCCACCAATGCCACCAATGCTACGACATCATCAATGATTGGAACTATAACAACAGAAATTAACAATCTCACAGTAACATTACATGGAAATTCAAGTTCTGTCTTGGATGCTGAAGGAATGAATCTGACCCTAAATGGGGATAACCAGACTTTTAACAGTAATATCTTGGCAAATAAATCCAAGGAGATACTTATCAGAGGGGATATGTTCTCCGTCTCTGAGCCTCTATCCAGTTTCTCCAAAAACAATATCCATGAAACACCGAATGGAAATGTCACCCCCCTGTCACACAGAAATGAAACAGCTGTTGAGAATAACACAGCGACTACTCATGCTAATGTGTCAGCAGATGGAACAAACCATTCATTACCTATTCCAATGACTGATGTTGGAGAGGCTGAAATCACAAACGTAAATGGGCACAACTTAACCATCTTTGAGTTGAAGGTAGAGAAAACTGGCAACCAAACCAAAGCTAATGACTCTCTGAACACCGCTGAGGAGCTAGAGTATGGACTCAAAGGGAACTCTTCTGATAATGCCAATATTTCATCCAATTCCAGCCTTGAAAGCATATTGCATACTCGTGGGGAAATTGTGCCCTTGCAGAATGTATCGATGAATATATCAATCTCAAATTCATCATTGGAAATTAGTTTGGAGGGAAGGGGTAATGTTACAGCTTATCTTGACCAGTCGAACCAAACAACATCTTCATCTTCACATAGTTTGTCCAATGAGATCATGATTCCGGGAAACCTATCCCTCTCCAGGGAGGACAGTTCTGAGGAGCTATTTTCCTCAGAAAGCAGTGAAGAAGTGGTTATCTACCTTAAAGAAAATGATGCAACGGTGATTAAAACAAAATCTGTAAAGACGCAAGAGTACAACTGGACCTATGACGGAACTCACCAAGTGGTACCATTGGAGATTCCTGATGACCTGATGAAGTATTTAGGTAAAGAGGCCCCCAAAACAACATCAACACCAAAAAAGACCAAGAATGTCCGACAGAGACCCCAGAAGGGCCAAGGCATGAAAACAAAGAGGAGGAAGGAATACAAGCCTCAGCTAAGAAGTGGTTCACCATTCTCTCCGCGAGGATTCAATCCAGACATGACCCCACGTGGGGCACGACCAAGTGTACCTCATCCTTTCTCTGTTGAGGATGAACTCATTAACCAGCCTGTCGTCATCGGTGTGCCTAGGCCTGATTTCAGTGACTATGAGCTGTATATTCCTGGAGATGAACCGGATCATCTAGGAATGGATGATCTCGATGTGAAAGCAGATGAATATGAATATGTTGTCTACAAAGACCCCTACAGTGATCATGAAGACATCAAGAATCTCAACCTGGACGAGACAGCCAAGTACTACCTGAAATTCACAGGCCCAAATGTCAGAACTTATTTCATCGCTGCAGAAGAGGTTGAGTGGGACTACGCCGGCTACGGACAGAGGTAAGCCTTACAGAAAGCTCATTTGACAATTGAGAAGATATGGTAGTTCAGATTTAGAGTTCTACCACAGCTTCACATCCACAAATTGAAATAAAGTTGTGTTGTCTCCACAGGAGGCAAGACAGGTCACAACTTAAGAGCAGAGAGACGACGTTCACCAAGGTGGTTTTCCGAGGTTACTTGGACAGTAGTTTCAGCACCCCTGAAATCAGAGGGGAGATGGATGAGCATTTAGGCATTCTTGGACCTGTCATTAAGGCAGAGGTTGGACAAAGCATAATGGTAAGACTGTATCTTAACTGTAGCTTTATTCATTTTTACCATCTGTTGGCAGGCACATTTGTATATTCCTTCAGAGCCTTTGTTACATATTGAACCTTTGATTGCGTCTCTTCGTGTTGTAGGTGGTGTTCAGGAACAATGCCAACCGTCCATTTTCATTACATCCAAATGGCGTCACCTATACCAAACAAACAGAAGGTCTGTCCTATGAGGATGGCTCTAAGTACTGGTATCAATATGACGATGAGGTTAAGCCCAATACCACCTTCACATATATGTGGAAGGTCCCTTCTGCGGTTGGGCCAACACCAGACGAGTCTAACTGTCGGACCTGGGCCTACTATTCAGGTGTTAACCCTGTGAGTAATTTGCATTTTTTTTTAGGTGTTTATATACTAACTATGTTAATTTCTAGGAGCATTGAAACTATCAAAACAGCTGATCGTTTCTTACTCTGCTGCCCCCTTGTGGCAACTTGAAAATACACAATGTACACGTGAATTGGCTGAAAGTAACTGAAACATGGCCACAGTTTTAGCCAGGGTTGAGTCATGTTTCAGCAATCACAAATATATCCATTCAGAATTATTGCAAGATCATAAAGAGGTCACTTTAAGGACTATTCCTTTCTTCAAAATATACTATGTGTAAGTGTGTTTAACGGAGTGGACTGTTTTACACATTTCTAAAAGCTGATAGTAAGCTCAGTGTTTGCTCTGTATTCAAGGAAAAGGATATCAACTCTGGCTTGATTGGGCCTCTGCTGGTGTGTCGAGAGGGAACACTGGACAACAAGTTACCAAACATGAGGGAGTTCATGTTGCTCTTCATGACCTTTGATGAATCCCAGAGCTGGTACTACGAGAATAACCGCGAGAGGATCCAGAGGAAAAGTCGAAGGAGAACTATGGTCCTCAACTTCAGGGAGGACCTCAAGTTCCATTGTAATGCAACATGTTAATGTGTTAATTGCAATTCTATTAAGGGCTCAAATTAACCCATTACTTTATTACAAGTTGTGTGCGGTTATGTCCCTTTGGGCGCACCGTAGCTAAGCCTATGCAGGGTCTCCCTATAGTCACAATGATGGAAATGAACCACCTGCTACGCCTGAATGTTTCATATCACTTTTAAAAACTCCCAGATGGCTCAGTTAACGAGTCAAAAGTAATATTCACCTTGTGGCATACACCATTTCTTTTTTTACCGTTCCTTTGAGCTATTTTCATTTACATTTCGATCTTTTACATATTCCTTTTTCTGTGGCCAAGTTAATGTGGTAACCTCTGATCTTCTGGAAGTGCCTTATTTTATTTCAAAATTAAAGCAGGTCTGTATCCAAACAGGAAGTAAAGAACCATTAGCTTAAGACAGTCCAACAATTCAAAATAAAAGCATAGCAAAAATTGTTTTGAAATGGAAAATAATGGAATTTCAAACATGCAATAAAAACATGGTTAATAACAATTTACTACGGAAATTAGGCGATTTAGCACATTTTGAAAAATTAATCATGACAGCTCGACTTTAAATACAACAGAAAGAATAATTTAACATCTTCATTGGGTAAAGCCAGCGTTATAAGTTTCTTTGAGGCCTTCAAGAATGATCAGTCAGGGATTGTAAAGTAATGTAAATGCTAAAAATTTATTTTTATCTGTTGTTTTTTTCCAAAGCCATCAATGGGATTATATTCAACCTGAAAGGTCTGCGGATGTACACCAACCAGCTTGTGGCTTGGCACCTGATCAACATGGGTTCTCCAAAAGACTTTCAGAGTGTCCACTTCCACGGACAGACGTTCCTCCACAAGAAGACCACCAGCTACAGACAAGCTGTGTACCCGCTGCTGCCTGGTGACCTTTTTTTTTTTTTTTCAAACAAGACAACTATTTACGTCTAAGTCCAAGTCAATTGCCCTCTAATCTTATTTGATATCTGAAATGTAGCACTTTCAAATGAACTGTTTTTGCAGGAAGCTTTGCTACTCTGGAGATGTATCCATCCAAACCTGGCCTGTGGCAGCTGGAGACAGAAGTCGGCTTCAACCAACAGAAGGGCATGCAGACCCTCTTTCTGGCTCTAGATAATGGTACAGATGATTAAAAAAAATATCTCTGCAGGATCTAGAGTTTTATTCTCACTTCACTGACGATTTGCTGTATTCACCTCGATGTTTCTTATCAGACTGTTACCGTCCGCTGGGTCTGGAGTCAGGCAGCGTGAAAGACGAACAGATCACAGCAATCAACACCAGAGGTAACCGTAATCCCTGTGGTCCAGCTGGATCCACAATCAGTGTACAATTATTGCAGGACATTGTTCCATAATGCTGATATGTCACTTGAGGAATGATATCACCTTTATCTTTAAAGGTTACTGGGAACCCCATCTCGCCAGACTGAACAATCATGGCAAATACAACGCCTGGAGCACAGAGCAGAACCACAGCTGGATTCAGGTATGTCTTAGAGGTGGAATTACTTTGTTTGACTGTGTTCACTTTGTTCCTAAATATAATCTGCTCCATGTGGACTTCCTCCTGTCCAGGTGGACTTCCAGCGGCCAGTTGTGATCAGCCAGGTCGCCACGCAGGGAGCCAGACAGCTCTTCCATTCCCAGTTTGTGGTCAGGTACTACATCTCTTACAGCACGGACCGCAGGAACTGGATCTTCTTTAAGGGCAACAGCAGGGACCTCAGGAAGGTGGGAGAAGTTTGATCACCTTCTTGATATGAACAAACAGCTTCAAACTGACACAGATCACCTCTTTAATTCTTTGTGTCTGCCGATTCTTTCTACAGTCGTTCACCGGGAACCAGGAATCCCACGAGGTGAGCAAAAACATCTTCTTTCCTCCTCTGATTGGAAGGTTCATCAGACTCCACCCTGTCAACTGGTACAGCAAGGGAACACTTCGCATGGAGTTCTACGGCTGTGAGCTGGATGGTAATGTATATGTTTATACAGACCTTTCTATTAAAGAAGGTTCCTTTTGACCACCAGAGATGTATCGTCACTCTCTTTAAAGCCACCAAACTTCATTGAAAAAAATTTAATTTACAATTTAATTCTACTCCTCCTCCTAGCTATTCCCCGATATTTTGTACCCGTTAGTCATCGAGACCTCAAAATATGTAAACAAGATTACACCTGTTAAAAACAAAATAGATGTCATTAGATGTTCTGTAAATTTGACCTCTCTTGTCTCCTCTCCCAGGCTGCTCAGTGCCTCTGGGGATGGAGACCGGACTCATCGAAGACCATCAAATCACAGCCAGCTCCAGAGCCACCAGCTGGTACTCTGGACCCTGGAAACCCTCACTCGCACGTCTCAACAAACAGGGAACCATCAACGCATGGCAGGCAAATGTACAAATACTAATACTGTGTATCTTATCTAACTTCAGCCTTTTAAAACCCTTAAAGGTGGAGTCAGTAATATTTTTCGTTGCAGCTTGTAAACATTCAAACTAGTCCCTTTCTCCTGGGATCATCACCCCCAAAACTCTGTATTTACTACTTGTACCTACTGTACACTGCAAGCTACCACACGCTAGCTCAAGCTAACCACCGTTGTTTGGCATCTACCTGTCCAATAGAAATCAGGCCAACTCCACGTCTGCTGGTGAAAGCTAACAAAAGGTTCATCCTTGTTTTGGAACGAGCTTAATCTGCTTTAAGTTTCACCTCACTGTGATTATATTTTCTCATCTTTGCCGCTACGTCCATCATATTCACGAGTTTGAATCGCATCCAATCACTAAATTGTATCCACTCCTAAACCCAACTGCTGCGCTGTCATTAGCTGGAGGAAACACACCAGCTCCCCGTCCAGAAACGTCCCGCCTCAATCCAAACAAACCACAACAGTAAAATCTAATCAGAGGTCAGGGTCTCTGCAGACACAGTCACCACCACATATGCATGGAGGCCCAGAAGGGATGATTAAGCAGCTTTACTTTTGCATAAGTCTGGATTTTAATTTTTAGGAAAAAGCTACTGACGCTACCTTTAAGAGCACAGAGATATCTGTAGTCAAACCTTCTGTTTCTTACCTGTCTATCTCAGTATAACGACATGAACCAGTGGCTTCAGGTGGAGCTGCCTCAGGTTAAAAAGATCACAGGCATCATAACACAAGGAGCCATGGCTCTGGGGAAACAGATGTACGTCGTTTCCTACACTCTGCTGTACAGCGACAACGGGATCCACTGGAACCAGTACACAGACGACGAGACTATCTCCTCCAAGGTGAGCTGCAGGAAATATTGAAATGCAAAGTATACCACATTAAAGTTTTCTTTTACCAAGGCAGGAAAGGGGATACTAAAAATGTCTCTTCCCGCAAAATGCAGATATTCTTTGGAAATACAGATAACAACGACCACGTCAAGAACTACATCTACCCTCCAATTTTCTCCCGATTCGTCCGGATCGTTCCCAAAAGCTGGATGGGCGCCATCACTATGCGGATAGAACTCCTGGGCTGTGACTTTGAGTGAAACACACACACCTTTAAAACAACATTATGACAATTCAGAGGGCTGTACTACTACGACACAAGATCACTAAGTGAGTAATGTTGAGCCCAAAGTGAGAGCTTACAGTTTTTTGTAGCGGTCTCGCTTTTCACCGGGCTGGATCACCATGACAACTCACTACTCTTTATGTTCAAAGTTTCAGTTCTGAAATCGTCTTTATAAAGCATCAGTCTTTCACTTATTCTACCCATATCAGCATTCTTCAAAAGAATATATGCAACATGTTACACACATGTTTTATTTTATTTTAAAGGTCACATATTATGCTAAATACACTTCACCATGTTTCTCCAACTCTAATATGTGTCTCTAGTCTGTTTACAAACCCCCAGTGATGAGAAAAGTCCATCCTCTGTGTCTTCTGCCTGCTCCACTTTTCAGAAAATGTGTGCTCAAACAGGCCTTTTGGAGATTTTCCCTTCATGACATCACAAAGGGCAGTAACCCCTCCCCCAGGTGGGTGACACTCCCATAGCTAGGTGTTTGTTCTGCCCTCTGAGTCTGCCTTCTCACTGTAAACAATAGGACATGGAGCGAGAAAGACCGAGTACACCAAGCCCTTCCAGAGAGGAAGCGTGGTCAGACACAGCTCATTTACATTTAAAGGTACAGACACAGAAACAGCCTGTTCTGAGCAGGGTTGAAATAGAGAGGTTTATAGGCATGATCAAATACAGGATCAGAGTGGATTTAGAACAAGAAACTTCACACACATGTTTGGAGGAGCTCTGAGACTTATTTACACTGGTTGAAGAGGAGGAGAATATGTCACCTTTAAATTTGAGTAACACATCAGCACAACATAGTAGCCATCAGGCTGAGGTTTTTTTGTGTCATACAGGAAGTCTAGTGCCCACTAAATGCAAGTTACAACAAAGAGTGAACTGGTGTGGTATCACAAATTATTAATTTCACTATGATCTGGAAAATGTTCAGAACAAGCTCAGCAAAGGAATAGTATGCATCACTTTGTCCACAGGGGAGCGCCAAAATCAACAAAAACTGAAAGGGAAAATAAACCCTGAAAAAAAGGAATAATTCAATTAAGGAATTTGCACTTTTTTAGTATTCTTTATTTTCTTATATGTCCCTCATGACGATCAGGTGACAAACAATCAGGCCTTTTCTGTGATGATGTGTCGGTGACTTGGTCTTAGTTTGTTTGGTAGTACACCCCTGTGGCCAACTATGCACGCTCAAATAAAGACCCAAGCAAACTGAAGCATACGTGTGGTGCATGCACATCCATTTCCAAAATATACAGTCATTTATCAAGGGCACTATATGCATAAATATACTCACAGGTATGGTGTAGGGCATTTGTTAAACTCATCATACAGCTTGTGAAACTCAGCTGCTGCATGAGTCAGGACTCCTGCTGATGGGGAATGTTACCTCCTTTAATGTCACCTTTGGGTGCTGCAGCAGAAGAAAAAAAAAGATGTAAAGATTGAAGGTTTTTTGCAACAGATGATTACGTTTTCAGATACACAAATATATTCCCAAACTCATTTGTAAATGCACTAATTATGAGTAATCCTAACCCATGCGTCATAGTTTTATGTGTTTTTGAAATATGAGTTTTATTTTTATGCTGACATCAGAAATGATTATAAATGAATGTAAATATGTAAGTAGACATCACGTAATTTATTTGTCAATAAAAATGATTGCTGTTCTTATTTTAAGCGTCCTGCTCAGTGATTCATGTCTCGGTATCCTGAGTATGAGTATGTGCACACTGATATGTTCTCATGGTGTCGAGAAGGCGTCACTTTTAGCACCTCTGCTGAGCAGGCCTCGTCGTTTAGCGGGCAGCCCGGGGGCCTCCAGAGTCAACAGACACGTGCAGCTGCAAACACATGCCGTGTTTATCCATTTGCTGATCATGTTAAACTGGGCACTGGAGGTGTGAAAGTCCCAGCATGGCTGCCCTGCGTTGCTACTGATCTACGAGTAACAAATTAAGTCATAGTTTTATTGGACGACCTGCCGTCTGGATGCTCTGGGAGCACTGAGAGGAGAAGCAGCTGTTAGTCAGTGAGACTGTACAAATAATCCAAGTGATCAGAATGTGGTGCATCATTTGTTTACAAAATCTCTTGCTGCAGAGATCAGAGTTTGTTCATTAACATTTTAACAGGAAATCGCCCACTCATCCAGACTCCAGACATGTTTTAAAATGGATATGGTGAGTTGACGTGTCTATTAAGGTGTCACTATACCTGATTTTTAAACTTTGATACAATACAAATAAAAAATCAAACACTGTTGATACCTGTTTCGATACTACAGCAACAAACAGAAATCCTAAATGGTAAATGGACTTCAGCTTGTATATTTCTTTTCTAGTCTTCTGACTACTCACAGCGCTTTTACACCGCAGGTCACACCTACACATTCACACACTGATGGTAGACGCTGCTGAGTAAAGAGACCATCAGAAGTAACTCATCCATTCATACACATGCACACGCCACAGATGTAGAAACTCAGGGTTAAGTGTCTTGCCCAAGGACACATCGGACATGTTGCTACAGGATCTGAGGATTGAACCCCCGACCTTCCAGTTGAGAGCCGACAGACTGAGCCACAGCCGCCCCAGAGTCCTAGACACCAAATATTGGGTATTTCCTTCATAAAAACCTCAAGCGTTCTCTGATGAGATAGAAAGTGCTATCCAAAACATGCAATAACTGTATTTAAAGTTCCCCAGCTTTACAATACAATACATATTTCTCTGTTCTTTGGGAAAGAGAAGAAGTGCTGTTCTTTCTTTGCACATAGTTATCGGTCACACACCCGACTTCAGAGTCCAGGTGGAGCTTGTGCAGCATGCAGCATCACTCACTTAGTCTGATCACCTCTTAAAATACGTGCAATGACTTCTCTGATGAATAGCAATAATACGTATGTTTAATGCTCTGTGTGCACATTCCTTCACAGCAGTCAGATCCACAGAAACAGGATGAGGGGCCGGGACATGGGGCTTCATTCACATAGATGTGGTTTTTTTTGTTTTGTTTTTAAAGAGAAAAACAAGAAAAAAAATTGTGATTGTTGTGTTTCTGATTTCTTACAGCTCTCAACTTTAATTCATTTTTTCCTGAACATGTTAGAAAAGTCACACCACCACACAACATCTGAGCGAATGACTGCTTCAATGCTTGGAAAAAAGTAACATGCAGTTGCTACAGTGCGCCACCAGGAGTCGCTGCAGCTTCACCTTCGCTGCAGGTTAGTCCTAGACCAAACATTCAGAGATGATTCTTCTCCACATGATAAGATCACAAGTGGAGTAGAAACATGTTACACAGTGGCAGAGGACTTTCAGGATTTATGTTTGAGTAAAGTTTTAAATCTTGTGTTGTTCTTGTTGTCCCCTTGCATCTGCTAAGGGAATTGTAGCTTCAGAAAAGTGACATTAACTGAAATTAATATTGAGCTTTTTCTAAACATTAACTTACTAATAAAAGTCGGTATTCATAGGATCATGAATATTAAGATAGATCCATCATAATTCTTCATAACAATGGGACAGTTGGGACCTGAATTATCTCATAAATACATTTATTTATTTATTCATAGTAAGTAAATTAATTTAGTCTCTACTTATTTGTATTTTTGTTGCTTTAGTGGTTTTGCCTGTTTGTCTTTTTCTGCTGTTGTTTCATCTTTATGTCAACTGCAACACATTTTGAAGGAAAAACACTTTTGAAGCAACAGTGCGACGTTGGCCTCTGATATTTAAGGCAGTAGAAGAAGAAAAACAAAGTTCCTATTCTTCACTTTCCACCACTCCCGGATCTTATAAATTCATGTTAAGCCGGATGTAATTGAAAAGAGTAAATCAATGAAAGCGTCCAGAGTTGATCCTGAGTCAGTGATAGAATATGAACATACCGCTCGTGATTATAAATATCTGTATTACACTCTGCTGCTGGACACTGACACACAAGATGTTTACAAACATCAGAGTGACGTCAGCGGAGTGTAACCCCAACCGGGAAGACTTTTAATGGTCACTACCAATAGACTGTAAATATTAAGATCACCACGTGCACGCGCACGCACGCACACACACACACACACACACACACACACACACACACACACACACACACACACACACACACACACACACACACACACCTCCTCCCCTCCTCTCCTCTGCTCTGCTCGGGTTGACCCCGCCCCCCCTCTGAGCGTGGCTCCTTTAAAAGCGCCAGTCCTCAACTCAGAGGGTCAGTTCAAGACCTGCAGTGAGACTCGTAGAAGACAGTTTTGGACTTTACTCTGAGGGACGTTCAAGTATAAACTAAGATTATTTCCGGACCCGAAAATCTAAAATCACTGGAATAATGAAGTCACCAAAACTGAGAGCCCAAGGTAAATGTTTATTTATTTTTTATTATACACTATATTTTTTATTATCGAGGGGGGGGGACTTATTTATTGAAAGATAGTAAGGCTTGTTATGCTGGTTTATATCAGAAATAATTATAAGGCCTATACAAGATCCCAATTAGAAAATAAACAGGTTATTTCAAGAGATGTAACAAATATTGGCGGGATTAAAAGTCGATTCCAACACTAGAACATGGAGTTTATGGGGTTTCTGACACTAAGTTATATTTCTGACGTTTTTTTTCTTGCAGCGAAGTTCGTCAACGAGGAGGACCTGGACGACGTGCTGTGCGAGTTCGACGCGGTGATCGAAGACTTCACGTCGCCGGTGGAGAAGCGTCACTTCAGGTACGACGAGCACCTGAAGACGGTGAAGAGGAGGAGCTGCGCGAGCGTCAGCGACAGCGGCATCAGCGACTCAGAGAGTAAGTGTTTGACTCTTTAACTGGACATTCAACTTTACTAGAGAGCATCGGAGCAACAACAAAAAAAAAAAAAGTCAAACGTAAACTTTTGGATCATTTCATGACATCAGTGACGCATTGTCAGGATCCAAAAATGATTCTAGATGACTACAGGGATGGTCTCCCATGATTTCAGAGGGGAGCCAGAATGGAGATCAGGCTCTGCAGAAAATATTTTTATCTCTTTTTTCAGTGCCTGGTGTTCTAAAAAGTTATCTCTACTTTGCCAAAACCGCCAGTCAAATTTGTTATCATAAACTTTGAATCATGCAGGTTCTAGCTCACCTTAAGTCAGTGTTTCTCCTCCTCCTCCTCCTCCTCCTCTGCGCTGTATCACCTCTGTGTGCAGTTTCTTATCGTGTGTCATCAGAGGGCAGCAGGGCAGATTGTTGCACATGCATCCATGCATATGCTTCTCTTCTGTCTCTGCCTGAAGGCAAAAGAGAAATCTTTGATCTCAGTCCAGAGATTTGGCCGTGATATTGAGCTACTGCTGCATACTTTGGCACACCTGCCTCCGGATCGTGGCTGTGACTCTAAAGTTTTAAAAAGCATACATTTGCTATTTTACTCCACAGTGTTTCTCAAAGTCCTCCCAGTCAGCTTCAGAGGTGGCCTCAGGCTGCATAAATGTGATAGCATCATATGCTGAAAAATATGCTTCGAGTCCCCTTGAGTTTCCCAAACACGTGTGAGCACAGCAGGTTCTGCCAGGAAGAGATGGAAAAGATTTGATTATTTGGACTGGGATACTTTTAAAAGTCTAGACTGCAGAATATTCTTCTTCCAAACAAAAGCGCATTGAAAGATTAAAGCTCTTGTGTCGTTTATTATCCAAACCTGGATGGGTAGAGTTTTATTTGATGCAGATTTTTGTAAACTTCAGCACAAGAATTTGACCACAGAATTGTGGTTACACTTGGGTTTGAGGGTGCTATCACAGCAGGTAGGACTTATCTCATTACCACATTACCACTACAGATCCTGCAGTACTCGTCATCTGTGTTAATAGCAGTGGAAGGTGTTTGAACAGGTCTGCAGTCTTAATGAGCGTGTTGATCGGAGCGGGATCAGATTCCTGCTGGAGCGCTGTCCTCTCCATGGCAGTGTAATGAAGAGGGACCTGTCCCACGCAGGGACGCTCTATTGTCCTGCAGCCTGATGGATGGACGGACTGTTGGACGCGCAGATTAATGACACAAACTGGGCAGAGCCCCAAGAGATCCACCAGAGAGTGCGGGAAGCAGAGATAGAGGAAAAAGGAGAAAATAGAAAGTGCATGAAAAACGGTAAAAACAACAGGGATTCATTTCCAAGTCAAACACAAAAGGGCTGCGGCGGTGTGTGTGTGCGCCCGGGTGCTCCCCGTTGTGTGGTGTCTCCTATCTCCCGCTGTGTGTGCAGTGTTGAGTGCTGGGAGTGGCACAGGTCAGAGGGAGAGGAGGGGGGGTAAGTGGTCGACATCTGAGACACTGTTAAGATCTGCTGCGGGTCTGGGCAGAGGAGTGAGAGAGGTGAGGACAGCTACAAGTGTGGCCTAATCTACTTTTTGTCTCATGCACTTCACTTCAAAATCCCAAAGATAGAATGGACAGTGTTGTCGGTCAACTTAAACTGAGACTTCAAGCTTTAGAGAAGCTGTTTTTTACTGAATGAATGAGCCTTAAATCCTGGACTCTAGCTGCGGAAAGTCTCCGCATCTTTATCTCTCTCTGACTCCATTTCTTTGCAGACAAACAGACAGTGAAAATATGTAACGTGGTGGCGTTCATAATATGACCTGGCAGGCTCAAACTGGTCGTTATATCACTTATGTAACCATCCGTTCAAGGCTTGGGTCGTACAGAAGAGATAGAAACTGCAGCCTGCACTGTTCTGGTGTCAGACTCTCAACGTGTCAGAGATAAATCTCACTGACTGCCACGATGGAGATCTAGTCTCTGACTTACAGTTACCGACTGCACATTAAATCTTCAACTTCTAAGGGAAATGCATAAAATGTGTCGCTACAGTGAGTCCGCTTTTTGCGCCAGAGTTTTGTTTTTGCACCGATGTCAGAGCGTGTGTTTTTGTGTGTGCAAACACAAGCACATGCGTGTGTGTGACAGGCCGGAGAGGAAGGCCGTCATTAGAGGAGAATGTGATGATTACACACCGAAGCTGCTCCACTGACACAGATTTAGATTTGTGTTGTGTTTGTGTGTACACAGAGAGGTGGACACTTACCTGATCTAATGTGTCTGAATTTGTCTCCTCTCGCTCTCTCTCTCTCTCTCTCACTCTCTCTCTCTCTCTGTCTGACAGGTGCAGAGTCTCTCAACAGAAACAGCTTCAGCTTCAGTGACGAGAGGCTCGACTCCCCCACCGTGCTCTCCCCCACCAACTCCTCACCTCCTCTCATGTCACCAAAACGTGAGTAACTCTCAGTATTTTCATATCTCTATTGAAACTTGTGAAGAAACTTTGACTTTAAGATTACATATTTAGATGCTGAACAGTAAGGCGTTAACCTTCATCAGCTAATATTTGCTTGGCTTGTCCCCAAACAGTACGCCTGCACTCTGATGTGTTGTTGCTTGTACAGATTTCTTGCGCTCCAGCTTCAGCCAGTTTCTACCCACATTGTGTCTGTCTCTGTGCGCTCTTGAAATGTCTGCCCTCTTTGTGAAAGAACTTACATCAGGAATAGTCTCTCATAACGGTGAATTGATCCCTGCTTTGTAACAGATCTTTGTTTTGCCCCTGTCATGCACAAATACCAGGCTCTCAAACAGAGATGTGTAATGATCTAATGGAGCCAAAGACTTTATTTCTGGTCTTTAAACGAGTTTCTGAAGATTGTTTTGCTCTGTCTGAAAATGTGAATCTTCTTTCTTTCCCTGCAGCCAAACTGGGCGACACTAAAGAGCTGGAGGACTTCATCGCCGACCTCGATAGGACATTAGAGAGTAAGTGCTCATGCCCGCCGAGCTGTCAGAACTCTTGATGAATTAGCGTGTGTGCTGGCGCCGCCCCGCTACTCTGGATTAACATAAGCGTTTTGTTCCCTGTGTCAGCTATGCTAACGACCACTCATAAAGTGACACAGCAACCCCTCCCCTCGGGTTTCTTAGAAACAGTGATGTGTGAGGAGGAGGAGGGTGAAGGGGCCGGGGCGGTGGTGTTACGTGGACCATGAAGGTCTCTCAGGCAGCGTGTCCCTTTTGAACCTGTCAATCAAACTCGCAAGAAAGTGCTCTGACCAACACCGTGCAATTACACACATCACAAAGCACTCCAATCGTCAGCTCGTGCACTTACTGTATCTCAGGAATAGTTTTCAGGTATCTGGACATGACTTCAGTATTCATTACTCTACTTATTTTTACAGATAGCTTCTTTCTACTCATTATATTTTGACAACAGGCTCGTTACTTTAGATTTTATACTCTTAAGGGGAATAATCCTGATTATTTTTTGCACCTTTCCCAACATCAAGAGGGATACAAACAGAAAAGCTGCGCTCTTTGTGCATCCATCTGTGCGCGTCAAACATGACAGGCATAAACTTCACAAGAGTTTGAACTTGGCGTCGTATTCAGAGCAGCACAACACTTTCTGTCCCTCTGATTTGCACACTGAAGCAGGAAGTAACGTTCCTGGTTTTAAAAATGTGTTAGTCACACTCAAAGTTAGGTTGACTTCAGTTCGATCATGTTCTAAAATGAGGTGATAAAAAACAGCGGTATAGGGAAACTTTTACTTTGAGATATGAGGACTCTGCAACACTTGCACTGGCAGTAAACAAGTCCAATAAGTACGCCTGCCTCTACAGAAGTATCTGTTCTTCTACGTTTCCTCCTCTGCATATTTATAGATATGTATGTTTGCTTATGCACATGAGAAGATTAAAGAAAAAAAGGGCGTCGTTTAACTTGCAAAATGTCATTGATAACAGACACACACGGCTCATTTGTGTTTGACTTCTGTACTTTGGGGATTGTGAGTGTTTGAACTTGCTTCAGAGTTTGAGGAATGTGTGCCGCTGCGTGAATTCCCACTGTAAATGTCAGGAATGGAATGAGACCGGAGTGGGAGTTGTGTGGATGTCTTTTCCTTCCCTCGGCCCTCGCCCTGTTCTGCCGCTGAGTGTCTGTCTTTCACAGACTGTCTGTAAAAGAAACTGGACATTCAGTGAGCCTGGGCGGGAAGTCGGCCAGCCTCCTGTTGGCTCTGCTGAATGGTGTGTTTATTAGGGGGCCACCGTTGTTTACGATGACCGGCCCGTAAAAGCGAGCAGCCCGCCGCTCTGAGAATAGAGCCGAGGAGCCAGAGAGTCCGGTTCTAATCAGGTCTGTCTGTCTCTGTTCTCAGGCATGTGACGAGGAGGCTCAGAGTCGTCTTGGGAGTGCAGCCACACGAGGGAAGGAGGGAGTGAATGTTTGGACCCCCCCCCCCCCCCGAGCAGCATACGCCCGGCTCCTACACCCAAAACCACCCAACAGGATACAGCTGGATCCCAGTGGCGTCCAAGCAGCTCCACCACGGCACCAGCTCCTAAATTTAACCCAGCCATCTACTCACTTCAACCACCTGGATACTGGGGCTGTAAGGGCAGCGAAGAGGGCCAAAATTAGCTTAGCAGGAAACCTGAGGACACAGCATGATGCAATGGACTCCATGAATCATTACGAGGAGTGAGGAGGCGTGAATGAAACGCCGCAGAGAGTCACTGGAACTTTTACTGTCAGATCACATCAACACTCCAACCCCTGAGCTGGAAGAGTATTTAAAAAAAAAAAAAAAAAAAAGCTTTGTATAATAGAAATATATTTGTAATTTTATAGAGCTCCTTATTGTCTTTTCTTTGTGTAAAATATATTTTTGTATCTTATGTAAATAATAATTCTATTTGCCTTATTAACAGGACGTTCAGATTAACTGGAATAAACTGAATCCTCTCTGGAGAAAGCTGGAAAGCTATATGTGTATTTAATACAGCGAATGCAGAGCCAGAGATAATATTAAAGTATGAAATGTTCTTTTTACTAACACACGACTCCGCTCTTTATTTTGGACCAGGGCGTTTGCTTTTCTGGGCTTCTGTCAGCTCGTCTCAGTAACACAGAGCTGAAGTTCATGTGCAGTCTCGTTTCACTTTAGCGACCACAGACGCCCTCTGTCAGGTCCATTCAGCAGGTCAGAGTAAGGATTAGCTTCTCTAAAGTTTAACACACCAGCGTATTTCACATTAATTTGTACATTTTGCAGAAAGCACTTTGATCTGTTATCGAGTCCCTGCAGGAAGAATTGGTTTCTTAGCAAAGCTGTGGAGCACAGGAGGGGTTCAGCTGCTGTTTGCTAATCTGGAGAGATATCAGAAGTTCAACTCCAGTGAATCTGTGAAGGAACACTCATACAAACATGCAACCAAAAGCAATGCATGCAGGAAAAAAGAGCAAAAGGGGCCATGATGGCAGCAAATGCAAGTAAAAGATGTTAACACATTAAAGTAGGATAATAAAATAAATACCATCTTGGATTGAAAATGTGCACAATCATTTAGTAAAACTCGACGTAAGAGGGACTATTGTTTCAATACCAGTTCTCAGATTTTGGTCTTTTATTTCAGCTTGCAGAAGGCATCCTCTTTGGGTCTTTTAAGGCACAAATGTGGAAACTTCAGAGAAAAGACAAAAGGGGGAACCTCGATGATCAAACTGTAGCATGAAGTTCAAAAATCATTCCTGATGTAAGGAGAAATGTGGTCAATTAAAAAACATCCAGGAGAATTTACATTTAAAATCTGTGGGTTCTAAAAGATGCATTTAGTGCAGTAAAGCAGTCCACTAAATGAGGCCCATATTTATATGTTGAGAAAGCTGTCTCTTCAGCACCTTGAAAATGTTCGACTCTTCCAAGAAACAAAAACAAAAAAACGTCCCAGATGCCCAAAACACTTTGCATTTTTAAATGTTTTGCTGATCTGCCTCCAGATCTTTAGCGGCCTTTGCAGGAGCGAGCCCAACATAGAGCTACAAACACAGAATCTACAACAAACTTTACGATTAACTGCGTCGTCATTACATTAATCATGTGCTTGGAATAAGGGAGTAGAGGCGTCATGCAGCAGATTCCTAATAATGTAAAAGTCATGCATGTAGCAACAGCCACACACAGACGCACTGAAATAGATACAACACGTCACCTACCTTCTGTGCTCACTAATCAACCTCTCAACAAACAAACACTTATGTAACCTCTGCAGCAACAGGGTCTATTTCCAGCGGCGGAGGGAGACAGGAGGGTGTGACCTCTTACAGGGCCAGCAGCAGGTGTGGCTCAAGTGGTCTAATGTCAGAGACGACCCCTCAGCCTGTGCAGACCGGCCTCCATGATGGTTCTAGAGCAGCAGTGCAGCAGGTGTAGACGGACCAGAGAGCACGATCGATGAGTTTCAGGAATACTCAAACACAAAAAAAGACCTAATGATGTGTAATCTAGGCCGTCAGGCGGACATACCCTGACTTTTTTAATCCCACATTTCAACCAATAAGACTGACAGGCAACCTGATAAAAGCAAACACCTAAACGCCATGCTACCAGTTTGTAACACAAGCTTCCTGATATAAGAGGTAAGTAACAAAATGCAAAGACAATTTTGAACTTTGCACAACAATAATCAAATGCAAAATGAAGACGAATCACTCGAGGAATGTTCAGGAACTTGTGTCTCTCAGCTGGTTTGCAGGAGTTTCATGTTTTCTTTACTGTTTTTTTAAGGTTGCCTTTATTCAGTGAGGACAGTGGACAGAGTAGGAGATCTGGAGAGAGAGAGAGTGGGGGACGAGATGTGGGAAAGGAGCCACAGGTCGGACTAGAACCCATGGCCGTCCACTTGGAGGACTAGGCTCCATACATGGGTTTTGTGACCTAAACCGCTAGGCCCTCAACGGCCCCATTTTGTCTTTGCTTTGCACTTATTTTGCAGATTCTGTGTAAACAATAAAGATAATGTAACATGAAAGAGAGTGGCCAATCTTGTAATTTAAGAGAATGAACTCTCTTGTGATCCGACGACCGCTTTAGAAACGTCAAGAGCTTCAGAAGACATTGCGCAACACATTTCAAAGGCTTACAGTTCATGCACTTTGAATGAGCAGAACTGTTGGAAGTGTCCTTTAAACTGTGTCAGTCTGTACTGTTCACACTTGTTCGATAGCTGCACGTAAAGAACATTAGGCCCCTCCTTTCCTTCAGCCCGTTACTGATTGCATCCGTGCTGATTCGGCTGCAGCCTCTGATTTGATCTCCTCTGAAGTCTCATGTTTTGAAGCCTCTCAAAAGAAAACCTCAGCCCACAAGCTGAGAGTCCCCCGACAGCTGTGCGCGGCTGCAGTTCCCAGTCGGTGGATCCAGCCAGCCGACTGTGAGCGCATGCCAGACTGTGTTAATGTGATGGCAGGAAGCTGGCACAGAGACGGCCGTCTTGTTTCTTCAGTACAGTTGGCAGAGGGAAGCTGTGGGCACAGTCTCACTCACAGTACACCTCTCCGCTCTGTGTGCTGTTACGAGGGTTTGGGCTGGACGCCGGGCAGCTGGCACGGATCGGAGGGACCATGTTGACACAACACATGATCCCCATCCCTCTAAAACAAGCTTCCCACTTGGCAGAAAGGGGCATCTTTTTGGCAGTGGGGGTCTGTCCTGTAGAAGTGTTGGCCTTGGCAGTGGAGCGAGTGTATGCACACAGGGCTGGAAGTGTGGGAAAGTAGGAGACCCGTACACATGGCGTGCTGTAAAACACGCTGCAGGAGGACGAAAGATTGACTTCATGACATGCTACAAAATATAGAAATGTAAAAATTGGGAAACACTTACAACAATGGTGCAGAAAGCCATGCACATACAGCAGGCTGCAAGTTCAGAAACAAACCCTCAAAACAAATGTTAAAGTCCTAAACAAAAACACGACTGTTATTATCTCGTTGGAAAGCTAGCGTTGTGATCTTAACATATTGAGACAAATGAGCTCTGCTCTTGAGAAAACAACAAAAATGTGCACTAAATGAATTAGTGGACTCATGTCAGCTCAGGCGCCTGTAGTTGTAGCGTAGGCTGAATGTTTTTGTAGTTTTTTGCAGCAGTTTTTAATAGTTTCTGTTTTGGACTTTTTGGATGTGTTTCTGATTTTTCTTTGTTTCTGAATTGGCAGCTCTGTTCTACTATTTATTTTGTATATATTTTATATATTAGTGGATAGAGGAACGAGCAGATTAGTTGAGAAAGTCAGAGTTCATCCTGCAGCCGTGTGTCAGTCCATACATGCTACTTGTTCAGTGTTGAAGTGGTGGTTCTATGAATAGTCTGGGCAGAGACACACAGATGTTTGTCCACATCACAAAGAGTCAGAAATACACAGAGTCAAATATCAGGTTCAGCTTTCTGCTTCATCTTCATCATCACTGGAGGCCAGATGTCTGCATAGACTGAATGTATGCATGTGTGTGGGCAGAATGGTTGGTGTGTGTGTCTGAGCATGTCTGTGTTTGTTTGACATCTTGATGTATGTGCAGAAAAGTGTTTTTTGTTTTCTTCTACTCCACATTTACATTTAGCTCAAAGTCAAGCAGAAGATTACATTTTTCTAGCGTTCTGGCCTGAAATGAAGCTTTAACCCGTGCTGAAAAATGTATATGCAGTTCCTTAAGGAGCCACTAGAGGCTGTCTCCAGCAGTGAGTCGATCCCCATAGAGCCCGATGTTTGAATTTCCAACTTTACTGCAGGAATAAGCCCGTTTACAGCCTGGTGCAAAATACTACTACCTGAGCCGGCGCATCCTCAGCCAAGTGACGTATCAGCAACAACAAACATGGCGGCGATAACGAGGGAGTTAATGTCTGCTTCTCTAACGGACGCTGAGCCTTAACAGGGAGACACAGAATCTAGGTAAGTTGTTGGGATGTTTGCCGCAGTTTGTGTTGTAAAATTTTTACATTTTTGTAGAAAGTTAAATCAAAACATTAAGAGCACTGCCTAAATGGACAGTAACATATTCATATATTCATCCTTTTGTTTAGAGACTTCTACAAACAGCCATCTTTGTCCTGAGTCTCCGGCAATGACATCTTCCATCATCATTACAGATGAGTCCAGACTCACTCTGAGGAGGACTGACAGGCAGCTTTAGCTCTCATGGAGGTGATTATCATTACTGCCTCGTGCTTTCCTCAAATTACACGTCCATTAACATCTCCATTATCACTATCACACTGACTGATCTCTGACCTCTCTGACAGTATGAGGGACCTCCTCGAGTGTGGAATTGTACTGAAACAGCTGAGTTAACCTGACCAGAGGAAACATCTCTGACTGAAAAAGTAAAAAGATGAAATACTCCTCCCTGCAGTCTTTGTTATTTACAGAAAAACTTCATAGAAAAACTGACGACTAAAATGACTTAAAATGGATCTTACATAATGAAATTTGGCCTCATCTCCACCTCAGGGGGTGAGGTCACTCTAAGCAGGCAGATGCTTTACACACACACACACACACACACACACACATACACACACACACGGTCCAGTGAGTGACAGAGCGCTGGGTTTACTGCAGAGGAGGTTCATGTTCAGGAGTTTCTAAGGACTCATTCCTCAACAGGAGGAAGTGACATGATGTGACTTTCTGCTCGTTTTGTAACTAAGGAACAATAACAACAATGTTTGTATGGTGACAAAGTAAAGGCACGTTGCTATGATGACAGAGCAGAGTCTGACAGTTGTGTAATCGATCAAATCATTCTGCTTAAGGAAGCTGAGACGCTTCTCATGTTGCATCCTCAACCCGTTGAGCCTGGCTCAGACTTCAGGAGTTTTAAAATCCTACCTGACTTATAAAATGCGGTAGCTTCACAAACATGAGAATTCTTCTTCATAATCTCAAGCATGCACACACTACAAGATATGAAAATAACACCACATCACACACTGGAGGTTATAAGATTATCGTGCCCGGCTGAGGAGCGCACCACCTCATGTGACCTCATGGG